ATGGACAAGGTTAACAGTATCGTCATGCATGGTTGAGAAGCTGAAACGCATCCTGGTGGGGGGAGCTCAAACGCACCCTGGCGCAGTAGCAAATCTAAAAGAAAACGTCAACTACTGTGTGCACGAAAGGCCAAGTTGAATCGTTCCTTGTTATTCTAGATAGTAGCTAAATACCAACTTATGTCACAATATATTATATAGTAGAACTTTACCAAACAAAATCCAGGACTGCTTATTGTAGAATACATGCAATCTCGTTTTGAGCGTAGACACTTGCCCAGGATCCATGCCAATAACTGATGAAAATCTGGGCTCAAGGATAAAAAGTTTTCTTTCAGTTATAAATAGTTATGATGAAATTATGGATTTTATATTTCCTCCCAATTTATTCACATGATGAATTTCGATTTGGTGCCTGGGAGATGTTTCGATGAAAACGCAATCTAGAAAATTTACAAGTCCAATTATTAGATGAACTTAATTATCATTTCAATGTTATTGGTGTTACCGGAACAAAAATCACACATTCAACCCAACTTAATTTCAAAACAGAGATTCCAGGATATGAATTTGAGTACGTTCCTACAAAACTGGCTTTTGGAGGTGTCGGTATGTATATTGATAATACGTTAGAGTACATAGTGCTAGAGAAATGCTCAAATGATGCGTTTCAGGCCTTATGGATTGAAATAATCAACAATGATAAGAAAAACATAATCTGCGGAGTTATCTATCAGTAGTGATAGACCCCCATATAGGGACGAAAGTAATTAGTATGCAAAATAGGGGGACGGAAGTAATTAGTATACAAAATCTATGACGTCACTTTGCTGGGCGAGCCTGGGCCAAATGTGACAGGTAACGCGACCAAATGTCCGAAACAGTACAAAAGACAACGCTTGCTATAGCTATATTGCCATTTCGCTGTGAAAGCCGTACGATGGAGTATCTGCACGGAAAAACCGCATCTTACAATTTATTGGAAGGAATATATGCGAATGCAGTCCCACATGAAGTTCAAAGACTTTGTGTGGAATCCTGTAATGGCTGTCAAGTCGGTCATCTTAGTCAAAGACAACATGACTGCCTCATGATGAACGAAAACGAACGATGGCAAATGTATGGTTTACAAGCGATCGAACGAGTGAATGGTAAGCGTATGGTTTGGAATGAATTTGCTGAGGCAATGAGGGTACTAAAACTGGCGGTTGATAGAGATGTACTCGAACATTTACAGCAACTGGAAAAAGATCCAGATTCTACGTTTGTCGATTCATTGATGGAACTACATCAGAACACTGAGAACCACGAACTACAATGTATACTGAACTATTTGTTTCATTGGAGATTAGAAGATCCGCTCGAGTCAGCAGCTGAAGCGTTTTTCTCTTGCCCACCGAGTTACATGTATTCTGTGAAGGCGACGGGTGAACGATTTAAAAGTTTTGAGGCCGATCATAAAATTGCTTATCAAGGATTCCTGGAGAAAAAACTTGTAGAACAGTTTAACAAACAGTCTTAGTTGTAATATTTTTGTCTGTTATTTGTATCAATAAACATGTTTTAAACTTTGAAAATGTTGCGTTGTTATGTGTTGTTAAATCATTAGGTGGCGTGTAGATAATTAAGGGATTAGGCGAACAAAAAATTTGCATAGCTAAGTGTATCCCAATGGATAGATAGGGATATAATTACGTGTTTGGTGTAAGCATAGTTTATTTGATTTTTATGTCAAGGAAACTGTAATGCCTCGGTGGCCGAATTGTATGGCATTGGGGTTTGTCCCAAAATAAGGGGGTTCGAGTCCCTCACATGGCGAAATTTTTATCGAAATGTATAGCAGAGTTATACCCATCTCGAAAGAGATAAGTCGCGTTTAGCAGATATATTTACAACGCAGGTGTGTGCCTTAAAATCGGGCGCAAGGGTTTGCAGGCAAAAATTTAGATTTAAAACACATTTATTTCTTCAAAACGTTTTACAAAATTTAGTACGGTCTACTTCTAAGAGCGTAACGTTTAGGTGTTTTTGTTATCTTTAAAGAGTTCTCATATTCTTGTCTATCTTCTGGGGATAACTTTGCAAGTTTTCCCGGCTTCATTGGAATATATTTTGGTCTGTCGCTCAATATAAAACGTTCATAATCCTCTCTTGCTTCCGGAGTCATTCGTGCTAGGTCACGTTCGGTCCAATCCGCTGGGTCGACCCAATTGTGGAAAAAGTTGTGCTTGAGTTTTGGTCGTACGTTGCTCTTCTGTTGGTGGTGGTTTAAGGAAATTAGGTTTAGGAGTAGCAGGCACTTGTGGTGGTATTTCCGCTGATACAAGAATAGGAGGCACTTGCGGTGGTATCTCAGCAGATACAGGAGTAGGAGACACTAGTGAAGTTCTCGGAACAGGAGCTTGAGCCGGGACATCTATCTTATTTTTGAATGTCAGAAACCGGTTTAGCTGATCCGAATATAATTTGCTTTTTTCCACGGCGCTAAGCTGTGGCGCTTCCATGATTTCTTTCATTCGCTGCTCGGCATCATACATGGCATTTAGAAGCGGTGGTTGTCGATACAAATGTTTTTGTATAAACTTTGCAATCTTGCCGGGAAGTATATTCGTCTTAAGTAGATCTTCATCACTCGTTGTTGGTTTTAAATCCAACATCAAATATCCATGAGGTCCTCATAAATTCTTGCACTCTACCAGGATCTACTTGCCTTGCAAGCATAGAAATTTGCTGTTTATCTCTTGGTGACTTGATATTTCTCATTTCTTTGCCCTGATGAAATATATTTTGAACAATATAGATGATGGACAAATTTCGATGATGACTTCCTTTCGTAAAAAGATCAGCTATACGTTTGTCTTTACTAGATTGTGCCATAAGATCATCCAATACGATCAAAATCCGTTGCGATACGTCCAAGTAATCTCCGTTATCGATATCGTCGGGAATGCCTTTATTGAACTCGATTCGAGGCATCGTCCCCAACATATCAAAATAAGATGGCTGCCATTGACCATAACACCAAATGATACGATGAGGAGGTGGACTTATAGTTTTCTGTGCGTTCTCCAAGAGAGATTTCACCCATACAGTCTTACCGCTTTGTGTACACCCGGCTACGATACACGTAAAAGGATGATGCAAAACTGCAGATCCTGCTGAGATTTCGACTGGTTTGCTTTGAACGTCTCCATGGGTATTCAAAGTATGACGCTTGAGGTTGCCGCGTGTTGAAAATACTTTGGCACATATATTGCACGGAAAGGACATGTTCACACCACGAACGTCTAGCTGTAAGTGATAATAAGTTGGCGTATTCGTTCTATATATTCATTTATACATCTATCCAGTATTCTTCCTTATCTTCCGTTTATTTATCTTCCTTATCCTTATCTTCTTATCTTTATCTTCCTTATCCTTATCTTTATCTTCCTTATCTTTATCTTCTTATCTTTATCTTCTTATCTTTATCTTCTCATCTTCCATATATTTATCTTCCTTATCCTTATTTTTTATCTTCCTTATCCTTATCTTTACCTTCTTATCTTTATCCTTATCCTTATCTTCTAATCTTCCTTATATTTATCCTCTTATCTTCCTTATCCTTATCTTTATCTTCCTTATCCTTATCTTTATCTTCCTTATCCTTATCTTTATATTCCTTATCTTTATCTTCTTATCTTCCTTATCCTTATCTTTATCTTCTTATCTTTATCTTCTTATCTTTATCTTCTTATCTTTATCTTCCTTATCTTTATCTTCCTTATCTTTATCTTCCTTATCTTTATCTTCCTTATTTTTTTATCTTCCTTATCCTTATCTTTCTTATCTTTATATTCCTTATCTTTATCTTTATCTTCCTAATCCTTATCTTTATTTTCCTTATCTTTATCTTTGTCTTCCTTATCTTTATCTTTGTCTTCCTTATCCTTATCTTTATCCTTATCTTCTTATCTTCCTTATCCTTATCTTTTTCTTCCTTATCCTTATCCTTATCTTTATCTTCTTATCTTCCTTACTTCTTATCTTCTTTATCTTTATCTTCCTTATCCTTATTTTTATCTTCTTATCTTCCTTATCCTTATTTTTATCTTCTTATCTTCCTTATCCTTATCTTTATCTTCTTATCTTTATCCTCATCTTTATCCTGCACTTTATCTTCTTAATTTCCTTATCCTTATCTTCTTATCTTCCTTATCTTTATCTTCCTTATCTGTATCTTCCTTATCTGTATCTTCCTTATCTTTATCTTCCTTATCTTTATCTTCCTTATCTTTATCTTCCTTATCTTAATCTTCCTTATCTTTATCTTCCTTATCTTAATCTTCCTTATCTTTATCTTCCTTATCTTTATCTTTTATCTTCCTTATCTTTCTTATAAGCTCAGAGCCGAGCTCTCAATAGCTCGGAGCCTTGTCTAAATTGCTTTCTCTCTTCCCATATAAGCCTGCTTATTGTTGTGTTTTACTCATTTGTTTCCAAACCGTCGAACAGATATGATCAATCTTCTAAGGCACAAACCATTTCTTGAACTGCTGGGCACGTCTGAGCCTGATCAACAACAAGCGCTACTGGAAACAGCAACCGCCGAGCAAGTACACTGCCTGTGTCTCTGTGTAGAAAACGTTATGAAAAGCATGTATTTAATGCCGAAGCATGTAATGAAGAAACTCCGACCTTACAAACATGAAATGCTTAAGTTGGCAGATAGAGGAAAATGTCGAAGAAGAAAAAACGGATACTCATTCAACATGGTGAAGGTTTCCTTGGACTATTACTAAGTCCTATTTAGGAAAGCCTGGCTGAACTTGTATAAAAGCCCTCTGACTACTATTTATACATCATTTCAACAATGAACTTCGACAGTAAAACATCTCCGCGACATTGGCGCATTGGAGATATACTTTTGTATCGGAACAATAATGTCCAAAAAAACTACAGCAGAAAAAATTCTACATTCTATTCTTATATCAAGCGATATTTTAACTTGGAATCCTCAGGGGGAGATTGTCTATCATGGAAGAGACATTCCAGGTACTAACATCGAGAACCTTTTACAATACGCACTTTTACAATACAACTCTCACATTCCTGAACCACGAGGGCTAGACCTGTTTACAAAAGGCCTAGCAGAAGCAGGGATTAATAAAGATTTAATTAAAAATGAGTATTTATTGTCAAAAATGGCAAAGGAGGAATATGAAATGCCGCAATCTGAGAGTGATGTTGAACGCGAATCTGGTGAAGAGGACAGGAAATCTGATAAGAGTGATAATGAAAGCGAATATGATGATAATGATGGTGATAATGAGCATGATGATGATGATGATGATGATGATGATGATGATGATGACGATGATGGTGAGTCCGAGAAACTAGCTTGTAACCATTGTGGAAAGGAGACAGGTCACATTGTATACTTAATGAAATGTCCAAGATGTTCGTGGAAAGATTTCTACTGTGGCAAAGATGCTCAATGTATGACATGTGATCAACAGTCACCTCTACTGTTTTCGCATGTCATTGGTTTCTGCGAGTTATGTTCGTATGGTACGTCTAACAGCAAGGCGGGTGGAGTGGAGTTCACACCAAAATGGATAAATAAAAGACCCAGCGGATTGGACCGAACGTGATCTAGCACGAATGACTCCGGAAGCAAGAGAGGATTATGAACGTTTTATATTGAGCGACAGACCAAAATATATTCCAATGAAGCCGGAGAAACTTGCAAAGTTATCCCCAGAAGATAGACAAGAATATGAGAACTCTTTAAAAATAACAAAAACACCTAGACGTTACGCTCTTAGAAGTAGACCGTACTAAATTTTGTATAACGTTTTGAAGAAATAAATGTGTTTAAAGACTGAAATATTGTGTAATTTTTTGCCGGCAAAGCCCGCTCTTTCCGCCCGCGCGAAAAGATCCGTGTACAAATATGTTGTACTTTAATATATGCATGTACCCGCAAAGCCGCGCGCCTGATTTTAAGGTATACACCTGCGTTAAAAAATAATCCCTATCTATCCATCGGGATACACTTAGTTATGCAAATTCGTATTACCTTAATCCCCTTAATTACCTACACGCCTCCTAATGACTTAGCAACGCATAACAACGCAGCAAAGTTTAAAACATGATTATTGATACAAATAATAGAGAAAAATATTACAACTAAGACTGTTAAATTGTTCTACAGGTTTTTTCCTTGACCGTATATATATATATATATATATATATATATATATATATATATATATATATATATATATATATATATATATATATATATATATACCGGGTGGCCCAAAAAAAAGTACTCCTGTTTGATTCGTAATAACATCTAAACAAGTATAGCTTTTAAAGAGAAATAACTTGCGTCAAATAGAGGAAGGACTAACTTAGACTTTGATATATTACAGTTGTATTTCACTTAAAAATTCACGGAGATATTAATCTTTAAATTCGGGAGGATATTTCTGGATGTGTCTGAAATATGCAAAAATCGGCGTATCAAATATTAATCAAGATTTACCCGACTGAAACATGCACTAATACCAGTAAATAAATGACACTTGACAAATTGTTTATTATGAAACAAAGTATTATTATATCTACAAAATACAAGCAAGATTCATTCGTCCGAAATTCGCGTGTGTTCCTAGCACGAATACGTTTCCTTATTTCATGAGACCACTGCATCGCGAAGGATCGTCATTGGATCGTTCGTAGTTCTGAATTAGGGCATGCTGTCACAACGGAATTGTGAAGCTCTTCTAACTTCTGCAACGTTCTGAAATCTTATTAAGAACACCCAAACTCTTTTGCCGTTTCTTAATCTTGGCAAGTTCATGGAGTAAACTGAGAATTATATGAAACACAATCAAACCATACAACTCCATAAGACATAACAATTAAGCAACTCCCCAGAGACATGCAACATTTTTGGAACAAAACGTAACAAAATAGTAGCGTTGATACGGTGATGTGTATTTGCAAAAAGCAATATTATTTCCTTCAGTAAAGAATATTCATCCTGCTCTAACCGAGAAATAATCTACTCAGTCTGTTTGAACCCATTAAAAACATAAAAAAATTAGGCTATTTAAGAATACGAAAAATTTAAGCGCCTGCCTTCCATGGTCAGTCTTTCATGTACATTTAAGTTTGCAAAGACCCAATATTAAATACTTGCATATTTCGAACGTTCATATTTCAGGAAACAATGAGCTAAGACTTACATGTAAGATGTCTAAATCTACGCCATATCCCTTACAAACCTTAACGATAATTCGCTGAAATACAAGTTAGCCTAATATGTCATTAAGCAAACAAACGCTGGAGTTAATATTTGATATACCGATTTTCGCTAATTTTAGACACATTCCAAAATATGCTCCCCATTTTTAACATTAATATATCCGTGAATTTTTAAGTTAAATACAACTGTAATATATCAAAATCTAAGTTAGTCCTTCCTCTATTTAATGCAAGTTATTTCTCTTTAAAAACTTTACTTGTTTAGAAGTTATTACGAATCAAACAGGAGTACTTTTTTTTGGGCCACCCGGTATAAAAACATTTTATGACTAAACTAAGTTCTATTTTGTAGTAATATTTTGACTCATTTCGACCTTTCGCAACATAATAATAGTGTAGCTTCAAACTTTATGATAAAAAACCCGATTTTCTAGGCGTGTATACAAATAAAAATAGTACGTTTATATACTATAAATGAGTTTATTACCTCCGCCAGGAGGTTATGTAATCATCTGGGTTTGTATGTGTGTATGTGTGTGTGTGTGTGTGTGTGTGTGTGTGTGTGTGTGTGTGTGTGTGTGTGTGTGTATGTGTGTGTGTATGTGTGTGTGTGTGTGTGTGTTTGTCTGTGAGCACGATAACTCAAGAAATACCAAACATATCCGTACGAAATTTTGTGAGTGCATTTCCCATCGGCTAAGGAAGAACTGATTAAAATTTGGTTGAATTTGGTTAAAAATTGAATGAGAAATAGCAAAAGTTTGTCTTGCTTTTCCCGGTCAATTAAATAAAACTTTATACTGAATGCGTAATTAGGACGTGCATAATATATGCACCAGCCATTCAAATTCTAATAACAATAGATTACTTCAATATTTTGCGCGTAGGCGGAGGTATGCAGTCTCTGAGTGCCCTCTAGTTTTACCTGTATCGGTTTAAATTCGCTGTTAAGTTGCAATTAATTCTGTTTGAGAAAGCAAAAATTGGGCATTTCGCAACCAGGGCAGTTTCAGGGCAGTTTTGGCCTTGTTGTTGGGAAATCCACTAGACCTTTTATTTTTTCGCTTGCGTCATCCTCCGCCCCGCCCCCAAATCACCTAGTCCCAGTCTTTTCATGTGAAAAAGCGCTGAATATTAAAAAAAAATAATAAAAATAGAAGGCCTAGGTCTAGGCTGACATTTTCCTACTTTATTCGTACTTAACCTAAAATTCTAGTCCTACTTTTATCCTACCTTTCTACACAAGGATGCAAGAAAGTCTGCGCATTTTTTGGAATAAACAACAATTGCATGGTTACGTGAAAATTTTTTTTTTTTTTAAAACGCTTTCAAAAGCAAAATTTTCCCCTGAAACAACAAGAAACCTGTACAGAAACTGTAGATGCCATGTTTCATCAGGAAATTTTGACATTTTGTCCTCCAAACTGGAGGTCAGTAACCAAATGTTGTTTGCTGATTCCAAAACAATTATGTTATTTATTCCTGATGAAACTTGGCGCACTCAAGACCAAATCATTTCTTTACGTGGTCCTTATAATTTCAATGCAAATATTTGCGCTTTTGAAAGAAATTTTGAACAAGCGCAAATGTTCTGTCACGTGACCAGTCACGTATTTGCCGTTTACTCCAAGACGGTGTGAGGTTGAAACTCGAAATTTTTACTTACAACATCATATTGGGCTATCTTTAAAACGGGGAATCGGGCCCGATTCCCGGATTCCCCATTCCCTGTTTTAAAGATAGCCATCATATTGTATCAGGTTATTACCTCATGCGTGCTTTAATTCTGACATCGAAGTTATGTGACGTCATCATATGAAAGTCGTCTTTTGCAGTTTGGCCTACGCTAGCCTTGACTGCTATACAATTTGGATCTACTCAATTAGCCTTTCTCACGATGACGAGTTACCGCCATTTTTGGGTGGCATCGAATTTTAATTATCCAATGCAGACAATTAAAACAATGTGACAAAGTCGCTGTTATGTGGACTTATCGCACAGACTTCAGCTGTTAAATGCCACCCAAAAATGGCAGAGAAAGGTTAATTGATGATGATTTGTGACGCATGTATTGTTTTCTGTTCAGTACATTGCACTGATTGCAGCGTTAAAATGTTAATTAAAATTCAAAAGGTCCCCACCGAGTTTTCTTGCGCTTTCATGAGTCTAATATTAGGTATTTTAATGGCATCTCTTTTATTTTATTTTATTTTAGGATGATTTTTATCTAAATTTAGTCGACTGGTCTCAACAGAATATTCTTAGTGTTGGACTCGGCACTTGTGTTTATCTTTGGAGTGCATGTACTAGTCAGGTGAGTAGATTAAAATATTTGTTTTTCTTCATGAAGCTATATTTGTTATGGTAAATTGTGAGCTCACTTTAACATATAGAAAATCCTCTACTCCACACATATGCAATGGACATCACAACCGCGTTAATCTATCTATCAACCGCCCTTCCCTAATGGAGCTGTTTCGAACTACGTGCTTCTCTCAAATTAGCGAACCTTATATATTAATTAGCGTCCTACTCTAATTAGCGAAAGACCTCGGATGTATAGGTTTATGGAAGGTTGATGTATTAATTGCATGCTAAAGTTTATAATAACTGAAAGTTCATTCACCTCAAGTTATTAACTTCGTAACAGGTAACAAAGCTTTGCGACTTGTCAGATGATAGCGATTCCGTTACATCTGTTTCATGGGCAGAAAGGGTAAGTCGAAAATTTTGATCGGTTTTGACATATATAGAGATAGTACAGAGGAGTGTTTAGGAACACTGAACTCGAATTTATTGAGCCATTTGAAGTGCAAATTTATGTCAATACTTCGTGTTCCATTTGTTAGTTAATGTTTGGTTCACATTAAATGGGTCCCCTGAAGCCATGGGTTGCGTATTTCATGTCAAGGGTTCTCCCGAATATAAGATCATGCACTTTTATTAAGATTGCCTGCATGCGTTTACAGCTGCAATAGCCATCATCATATATAGTATACCTGAATATTTTAAGATGGTATACAGTAAACACATTACAGTATCATTGATAACCCAGTGGCCTTTATAAGTGCACCACACTCGATTATTTCTAGCGATAATTTCTGAGTTTTGTCTGAGTGTTTTTTGCAAGTGCATGGGCGATGGTTTCAGTAGGCCTATAAAGATGGGGGGGGGAGGGGGGGCATGGATCACGTTTCACAACGAAAAAAAAAGCCGTTTCACGATTCACGTGTCTTAAAAAAGCAATTTCACGGAAAACTAGATTCTAATAAAATAATATAACAATAATAGGTTTATTTAGAGTATGTTTAATGCATGGTACAGTTTCTACGCTTTACGTTCTCTCACTTCTCTACCTGTCAGTTAAAAACTACATCATAACTTACAAGTTTGAGTGACGAGTATGTCCGACTTAACTATGGTCCGACGACCTCCGAAAGGCCTCCGAAGTTTTTACTCTTGTGCAATCGAGTGAGATCATATAAATTGATTATCGCGTATCATGTCTATCATGACTATTATAAAATAGATCGAAATAAACAAAGCAAAATCACAGTTCACGAAACAGGCATCCTTTATTCTCATTTCACGGAGCATTTTTATCGACAATCATACGCCTCACGACTGTAGAACAAATCACATTTCACGACACTAAAATCAAGCATTTCGCGCGAACAAATATTGACCATTCACGGCTCACGAAAATACCCTTTCCCACCCTCTATAAAGTATATGCGTTACGCGACGGCAGACAGTGGATGCGAAAAAATTGAACGACAACTCTCAATTAATTGCCACCAAATACTATACAAGTCGTGGACTGAAGTATGATGGAGAGATTTGACATTTTCTCACTCACTGCCACGATAATATTCAGTAATTCCAAACTTTTCAATTCAATTTTCATGTCACATAGACTGGTCATGTAGCCGTAGGCACCCACCGAGGTTTTGTTCAAATTTGGGACGCCACTGCTCAGAAGAAACTGCGGACCCTGGAAGGACACACGGCGCGAGTTGGTGAGTACAATACAATTATTCTGCGAACCAGGCTTTTAGCTAGGGTCCTGAAAGAGGGCGTCCAATTCCGGTATATCGATACATCTCGGGAAAACGTTCCCTCTAGAAAACCTTTGAAATTTACGTTTCTTCATGTCTGTATCTGTTCCAAGCTCGTTCGAAATTTTTTAAACACACTTGGCTTTGTGAGTTTGTGCCGCTATGCTGCTTTACTTAACTACGACATTTTCATTCAGCCAGGTACACCATCAAATTGATCAAAATGTCAAATGTATAATAATAATGAGAATTGAAGCTATTTCGTTTCGGATATATTAATATACTTAGGGAAATCATTGAAAATAATTCCCCTTTTCCCCCAGAATTTGGGCGTCCAAAGGCGTCCACTTTTCGTTCTAGGGTGGACGCCCTTCTGGCTAAAAAGTCTGCAGTGCGAACTCGAATCGTATACGAGCTGTTACCGACGAGGTGCATAGCACCGAATTGGCGACGAGTACGAGGGTTAATAAAATAACTGTTTTATAGTCAACTACTTCATTCACAGACTCATCTGTATGGCAATATTTTGACAGTTACAGTAGTTTAGCAATCCACACACTTGCCCTAGCTTTGCTCTTTCCGCATTATTTTTTTAACGTTTTCATTCTGTTTTTATTCCTATTAATGCAATTAAAAGCGAATTCCTTGCAGTTTTTCTTCAATCAGTAACTCTTTCCTCAATTTTCTCAGTTAAAATCACTTCTTTTTTAGTAATTACTTAAAACACAACCGTTGAAATCCTTACGTCTCACAAGCTATATATATGCAGCATTCGCGCGTCCGTGTGTTGTTTATCAGACATACAACCTCTCATCTTTGGCTCGAGCTTGTATATGTCTCGCGATCGAGCTTGTATATGTCTGAAATTACTTGAAGGAAATTAGAGACAGAAAACTAACTCGCTAGAAAAAAGACTCATCATGCAGTGTCGTTTATATTTTATGTATTTGTTTTATCGTATAGGTGCGATAGCTTGGAACGGTGAACTTTTATGTTCAGGTAGCAGAGACAGATCTATATTACAACGCGATTTACGAAGTTCTGAACCAAACGAAAGAAAGCTTGTTGGACACAGACAGGAGGTTAGTTTGGAATGCATGGCAATATTTTATACTTTCTTTAATCGCTATAGATGATATGATAATAAATATATTAATCCCACTTTACTTAATATAGAATAATTAATTAATTTAATCTAATTCCTTTGTTAAATACTGATTTGTCTGAGATGATATCATCCGATCTCCAAATCCTTCGCAGTTGCTCAAATAGTTAGCTATCCCCGTGTTTGGAACACAGAGTATAAATTGTCTCTCGGAATGTGGTAGAGAGTTTCGGATTTGACTATGCCATGCACTATCGGTATCTCGCACTGGATTAGTATACGCATTTGATTGGTTAATCGGATATATCAAACGCATCTGATTTATTAATGACTTCTGAATGGTAGCTGTAATAGAAGTCAAGTCTATGATTTTTGTTGCTTTCATGTAGTGCGCACTGTTAATGGACTTTTACAGTAACTATAGTTGTAGCTTGCCAGTTTGAGTTGGAGTTGTATAGTCCCCTAGTTGTAACTTATTATCCTTTTAATTTTAAAGTAAGAAATGTCATCAGGAAGAATTTTATATCTTCAAACGTCTTCTGTTTTCTCCGATAACTCATTTCAACATTATATAGCATGCAATAATATCAGTGATGCCCTAGTTCATAGCTTCCTGCACAAGATTCATTGTCACCTATATATGCATGCATGTTCCGTTTCGTAACCTGCAAAGCAGGCGTTTTATTTGAAACGCGCGGGGGTGTTTAGTCAGCCATGGCCAAGCAAAACGCCTTTGCATCATCGATTCGTCAACCATTATTTCGCCACCAAAATTTGAATGTTCCATTAAGCACTGTTTTACATGCATCTCCCATTTCATCAACTGCACAATATCTCGTGTAGTAAATGTGGCAAGCTTTACATTGGGGAAACTGGACGACGTTTGAGGATACGATTTGGTGAGCATAGTCGTGCTGTCATGATGTCATCAACATCAATGCATGTTTAACAACCTGTTGCCTGACAGTTTAACAGTGGCATGCAATCGCAGTGTTTCGGATATGAAAATTGCAGCCGTTTGCATGGAAAGGCATAGCTGTTTTAAGTAGTAATGATAGCCGAAAAAGAAATGAAACCAGACATACTACTACAGCCGAAAAAGAAATGAAACCAGACATAATACTACAGCCGAAAAAGAAATGAAACCAGACATACTACTATATGTACAGTACAGTGCTATAGCATGCGCAAAACCTAAGGCTTATTATTCCTAACAGACTATAACAAACTCACGCAGCGAGTATAAAACGATGAAACACTTCGTTTAGGCAACGCAAAAAATCTCATTTCCAAACTTGCCAAGTGTTTTCCGTTACTTAGTTTTAATCTGTCTAATAGTATGCTTTTCAGCCTTTTCTATACATAATTTTCTATATGCAGTGCTTCTATACAACAAACATTCACGGTTTAGTGAATGATTAGAATGAGTTTGTACAATAACTGAAGTTATTAACTCTAGCCGTTAGACCAATTGTCCAATATTGTTTTTGCTAGGTCTGTGGTTTAAAATGGTCGCCAGATCACCAACATTTGGCATCGGGAGGAAACGACAATAAGGTAAAATAAAAGTTCACGATCTTCAAATAAAATTCCAAAATTCAATTAGAAATAAATACGTTTGTGGCTTTTCTGCGCGGCTTTTGCAGTTGAACAGTTATAATTAACGTCAAAATAATACTGGATTCAGTATCTAATGTCTGTAAAGAAAATCACCAAAATAGAAGTTTAATTAATGTGCCCATTCATATTTCCCATTATTGTGGAAAGTGATTTTTCAAAAAACTGTTGTTAGTATTTTTTCTCAAATTATTGTACAAAAGAAAGATGTGAGATGTGAGTAGATCTTCCACTTCAGTACAAACGTATATAGGTTTTAAAATAATTATTAGCATATACTCGGTAGTGGACAGTGCTTTTCAAGCAATTTGATTGGTTGCTCTGCTCACGGGATATCCCTGCACTATATTCTCCTCAGGACAAAAACAAAATGGTTTCCTATTTCGTTCCGGTTACAATGACGAGCAAATGTTTTCACGAAACGAATCTGCGGTTCCGTTCAGCACAACGAAAACCACATGCAAAGTTTGGTTTAACAGTGTTTAGAGGTCTTACCATATCTTACAATAAACTATTTCTAGTGAATAAAGTGACTAAAAGTTTGTAAATGCTGTTTTGTTTACAACTATATTATGGGAGCTATAAAAATACAAATTGTTTTAAAATATGTTCGCGGGGATTTTTTGGTCATTTTTTTTTATAGTTATCATTGATGGTATATGCTAAAACAATGATTCTCCTCATTGTTGGTGAATAGTGTAATTGTTAAATATTTCGTACTTTTTCTAGTTACTTGTGTGGAATACCAGCAGTTCTACTCCAGTACAACAATATAACGAACATACAGCCGCTGTCAAGGCGATATCGTGGTCACCACATCAGGTATTAATACTGGTTTTATACACAACAGAATATTTTAGGCTACGTTCGCAATATACCGGATAGCTATATCCATAGCTGCGCGAAAAAGTACCTAAGTATCCGATATGGAATGTACAACTTTCAGAAGCTGAGCGAAACAACATCTCTCCGTTGCAATAATTCCTCTGAAAATAGCGTTCCTAAAAGCTACGGATACCTGGAGGTGTTTTTAGTGCAAAGTTGCTTTGCACTATTGTTATGAGGTTAAATTCACATCAGTGACCGATCGATCGATCTATAGAGTAAACAATCCGGGGGGAGCTTGCAAATTATTTTTATTACGTTTTCTACTAAGAGCTTCGCGATGTTCGCATTGTTCGGCCAACTAATCGTTCATAGCTGTTTGTAGATTATAACAATCTATATTTATATTCATGATGGTACATGTTCTTACTTATTTATCTGACATTTAGAGAAGTTATAACAGTTAGGCTATAACCAAATTACTGTTGCATTTCAAGCACTTGTTATTATATGATATGCCCCCCTGTAACATAAATACACGTGCATCATACACGTGCTTTCATATGTTATTATTTTACAATGGCGTACATGGCGAGCGGTGACTATTGAGCGGTGGTGTGAAATCGTGTAGACTAGAGTGTATTACATCTGAGGTTGATAGTATTATAGCACGGTGGTTTAATATCTATGAAAGATACGGAGCGATGTATGCATGAATAAGTGCCAATGGATAGTTTTGATATAAAATTATAAGTCAGCAGCTGATTTCTATCAGCTAGCTTATTCTTGTATTATTATATCACGATATAACCCGCGGAAAGGATGGACCGCTCGCAGTCTATATCAGTTAGCTTATTCTTGTATTATTATATCGCGATAGAGCTAGGTTTACATGGCCCAATATTCAATAAATAGTAAATCATAAAATAAAATTGAAATTTTGCTCCAGAGGCAACATGCCGAGGTCGAGCGTATTTATATTGTAGAGCCAATGTCCCAGTGAACTATAAATGTCTGTATTAATAATGATCTAGTGTTTGTGGTGAAGTATATTATTTTTAATAGCAGAAATTTCTGTACTCAGTGTAATCTGTAGTCAGTAATGTCAGTTCGTATTGTTTCCGAGACGTTTTATATAAACAGTCATTCCAAGCTTTTGTCAACTGAACTATTGGTATTTCTCACTTATGCAGTTATGGCATTTCATTGATAAACTGTAAAATATTATATTTAACTAGACACAATACTAAAGTAAAATGTGGTGCCCGCCTACAAATAAAACTTTCGGCGTTTCCGCCTACATGCACAAGTAAAGTTATATTTAGCACGCTACACATTCTCCTGTCGGCCGCCAGTTGGTCTGTATATTGGGATCAAAACTGCGTTTTAAAGCCTTCAAAATAAAATATTTTGAGCTCAAAATACTATCAAAATGAGGAGAAAAGTGAGACGAATGCGCTGGCATACGGCCAAAAACGAGAAAACCAACAATTCCGAAGTTATGAAGGATCAAACGGACTGCATTTTTAATTAGTTTAATAATTTTGAGCGATTTGTGAACGATACAATTTCGCTTGTCTTTCAAAGGCAATAAATCGCTAGAATGCTGTTGTTTAGTAATACATTTGACATCTGTGAGTATAATTTCTTACGCTGATTCGAACAGTAGTATTTTTGTCCTTGTTTGACGCATAAAACCCAGAGATAAAGCTTAGCAAGTAGACAAACTCACAAACAAAGTCACAGGCAGAATATAATGCGGTGCCAAAAATGGCACGGGCACCGCAAAGTGAGAAATATTTAGATGTCGGCCATAGTTTAGCCCGCGTGCAGGCCCAAGGGAACTGATAGTGGGCCTGCAAGCAAGGCCCGGTATTTTGTAAAACGCCCCTTTTCATAACACGCCCCATTCGCGCGTCAATTGTCAAAAAAGAACCAATGACAGCACCCAAATATTAACAAACAAACTCGCATTAAAATGTTGCGGGGTTTTCTCTGCTTATTCAGAACATAAACAATGTGTAAATGGCAGCGTTTTAACTCCAAAAAAGCAAGCAACGCAGTCAGTAATTGCCAAATTTGCAAGTGCTCATTTTCAACTAAAATCGGAACAGGCAAATTAGGACGAATTTCAACAGAAAACCAGTCTCAAACTTCAAATCGTGAGGGAAGTCGTGCGACCACATTAGCATTTATATTATGTGTGCTTCGCTGTCGCCATTGGCATTGTTATAAATAAATTGCCTCACTTATCAGATCGTGTGTGCAATTCTTGTTGGCGGCGGAAAGTACGAAATTTATTTCAGTTATTTCATTTGGTAAAGAACTCTACAAAAGAAGAGAGCGTTCAGAGTCCAGATCGTTTCGTTTCAAACGGCAATTTAATACCGTCTTCTGTTTCGCTCTCTCAGCGAAGCCTTGTAAATCGCAAAGTGTTTCGAATAGGCTTACATGCAACTGCATCTCAACATCAACCAAAAGATAATTTTCTTGAGGAACATATAACGTATCAAGTCTGTTTGAAATTAATGAAACTCAAGTAAAGGTTACTATAGTTTACCCCATTGTATTAAATGTTGCTATTCCAACACCTCCCGACAAGCAATCCCCATTGGCATAACGACCAAAACATCTCTTCCTTCAAGTAAACAATAAACAGTCTGTTCTTGTTCAATTTATAATCGAAAAAAGTGATCAATTTTCGAATTTTGAGCTTATCGAGAGCCTTTGTGATGAATCACTGACCTAATTATGGAATCACTGACCTAATTACAGAATCCAACAGCAAACAGCCAATCAGAATGCCGCGTTCGTGGGCGAACGCGGAAAGTACAAAATACCGGGCCTTGCTTGCAGGCCCACTATCAGTTCCCTTGGGCCTGCACGCGGGCTAGCCATAGTTCTGTTTGCATAGTATTACTGTAAAGTCATTAGACAGCAACTTCTGGAGCACGTGGCCAGCACGCAGTCGACTTGAACTCGTCCTGTCAGGTGACAACAATTTCTTGCAAGCTGTTCATTTTTGTTTCATTTCGATTTTCGAAGGCGGTTTATTTTGTTTTGTATTAAATATACAACGAAAAATGGGTAGAAAATTGAATTACAAGCAAAGAAAAAAGATCTGGACTAAAGCCACCTTTCAAGGGATTAAGCCGTGGAAAATCATCCATGCGAAAACAACAACATTTACTGTCGTGGCTTGTAATATATAAAAACAAACGCCAAACAACTTCCTTATAGATGCATCAATCCTATCAGTTCATACATTAATCATTATGCGAATCAACATATTAAAATCTTAATTATCATTTGTCATATCAACTTTGCACTATCCTTGGGATCTCTGAGTTTCATCTCGCTGAAAGCTATCCGGTACAATGTAAACGAGGGCCTTCGCTCGAATCGTCGAAATTTTTTCTATATTTCAGGTAGTTTATCAGAAGCCCGCAAAAACATACAGTAATTATTACTTTTTTCAAATTGTTTTTGTTTTTGAGAACCTTCGAGTTCTAGCTCTTCTTAATTTTAAAAAGGCCTTAAATACCTCTAAAGTTCCCTGTTATAATCGTTTGCTATAAAATGTACTGACCTTTGGTTGACGTTAATTAGCATTTCCCACTCTCCTCTGCAGAGCCGTATATATAGTTAAACACGAAGGATAGCTATTAAACAATTATTGAATGAGGGCGAGTTAGCCTACGGTGTAGACCCAGAGATTTGCCAGGCTTTCGATCCGTAAGCCTGCATGGGTATAGACTTCACACGTCGTATTTAATTCAGACGAATTTAAATATATGAATGCTAGAAAATGTTAAATATACAATATAAAGCGTCTTGGACGAATTTAATTGACCCGACGAATTTAATTTGACGATAGTGCAACATATGAAACAGGTCTTATACCAGGCTTATCGAAATGCAAATCTACGAGGAGCTAAACTAAGTAACGAATTGCTTTGTTTTATCGTGACAGCATGGTTTACTTGCGTCAGGAGGCGGCACTGCTGACAGATGTATACGGTTTTGGAATACGTTAGCTGCTCAACCTCTTCAATCTGTCGATACTGGCTCCCAGGTTTGTTGAGAATTATTGATTTTGGGTACATGTATTGTTACACTTATGAAAGACATTATGAAAGTTGCCGTTAAAGGCAGGTTACGTTTCGCTATTTTCTTTCTTTTCCATTCATCGTTATAATATTTAAAGAGAATCACATAAACCACATCCATGGTCGACTATAGCGTGAGGGTTAAGGCTTTAGGGGGCTGATATCCTTTACTACTTGATCTACAAGAGAGCTTCATTTTATTTGTACTTTGACCTTTTTGCAGGTGTGTAATCTGGCGTGGTCAAAACATTCAAACGAACTAGTAAGTAGACATTTTACAAACATGCAAAATTCATTAATTAACTTCTGATTTCTTTAAATCAGCCTGTTCAACAAAAATGCTTCAACCGTGGAAGTTTGCATGTGGTTAATCACACAATTATGTTTTGATCATTTGTAAACTTTAGGTCAGCACTCATGGCTATTCACAGAACCAAATACTTGTGTGGAAATATCCTTCACTGACACAAGTGGCGAAACTAACAGGACATTCATACAGAGTTCTCTATCTCGTAAGTATGAAGATGAACTCCTTTGTTAAGTGGATAGTACTCACGAGCTTGGAACGATATAAATACTTTAAAAAATATGAGAAGTTAGAGGACCTTCGATTGAAACGACGATTTCATGAAAGCACTTTTCATATTTTTTCAGGTAATTAGATCTTTCAAGCAGATGTTGTTCATCGCCATTAGAACCAACACTCGTGATATTCCGTGGCAAAGCTTTTGGTCCCTCTATAGATGAATAGTAATTAATAATTTATCCTGCAGGACCGTTGAGAGGGGCACAGAAGGAAATTTTTCCCGGGGGACCCAACCTGATAGCGGTCCAGAATTTAAAAGCGTTCCAAAATGGAACAGTGACGCTTCCCAAGTACGAGCCCTTCATCAAGTTATAATTAATTTGTAAAGCTCTTTGGGTACCCCTTTCATACTCGTACCTACGTAGAGGGGCGAGTTCTGCGCTGTTTGTTGCATGCCCAGTGCGCCACAACGAGAGTTGAAACTCCATAATTGACAAAGCTTTTCTGGTTTGTTTAGGCGGTATCTCCTGATGGTGAGGCTATTGTAACAGGAGCAGGAGACGAAACTCTCCGTTTCTGGAATGTATTTAGTAAAGCGAGATCACAAAAGGCAAGAGAGATTTTGAAATTAATTTTGCAGTTGGTTTGGCGCAAATTACACTTCTAGAGGTGTATGTGATTATGTGAATAATTAACCCTTTCTGAACCAGTGTCATGTTATACTCATGTATATCTGCATGGCATCCAAAAAGTGAAGCCAAAGATGGCGGAAATTGACGTCCGGTGCGTCCCTTTCTATATTGCTTTTTATCTGCGCTGTTAATACAAGGCTGAATGAATGTGCCAAAATTTCGTATTTTGACTTCGATTTAAGGAATAATATTATAGTTTTATGGACTGATAACTTGATCAGCGATACGGTACGTTAGGAAAAAAAACTGGAATAATATTAGCCTGGGAAAATGGTATGAAATAGACTTTTCATGTCATTTTCTGCCATCTTGGGTCTTGCCCTTGGCTTTATTTTTCTCGTAGTCAAAAGGCTGAAGGTCTTACTCCAAGTATATACAGCTAACTCAATTAAGGTTGTCCTTCCAAAAACTTAAACGTTAAACTCTGAGCGCGCTAGGGATGATGGGTTATTGCTTATTTGGTCAATTTCACATGAGACATTGAAAATGGTAAAATTGCAAAATGCAACATTATGTGGTGCTAACCACACGTTTCCATAGTTAACACATTGGATTATCATAAATCAAAACGATTTTTGAATTTTGGCCCATGCCCACTCTGCGGCAAACCGTCGAATCTGCACATGTTTGTTGCTATTGTTCTGTGGATAAAGTGTGTTTATTTAAAATAATTATAACTCAGTCACTTTAACTTTGAAATAAGTTATATTTCTTAACAAACACAGTCTAAGGTTCACATATCATGATGACAATGTTAGATCAGACAATATCCAGTGTTGCTGTGATTTATGGTGCATCGAAGTTTGGGTAAGAGAAATGTAATGTCCGCAACAAAAAAACAATTCAATTTATTTTTCAGCCAAACGTCTAGCTCTTTTGACATTATATTTGTGCTGCTTTTTTAAAATGGTATTAACATTATTTTAGACTGGAAAATGACAATAAAAAGTATTAACATGTCTTGAATAATGTGTTGCGGACATTACGTTGCAGACATTACATTTTTGAAATTGGAGAATTAGATGCTTATATAATTGTCTTGCTTGAATTCTATAGTTATTTTAAGCTTGATGACTTAAAAATAGAACATTAAAAGGACTATGGGACCCTTACTTTTAAATATAATCACTCCGTGCTGTATACACAATCACAGTGACACAATTCATCATGGAAAGTTTCCAAGTTACATATAATGCCACTAACGTATACTGCCATTGTACCATCAGTTTTGTAAGGCAATTATGTTGTTAAGAGCAAAATCATGTTTTAATTCATGTTTGTTTTAATTCATGTTTGTTTTGATCATCTTCCACTAAAACCCAGGGGTGTTAATTATCCCCACCAAATGTAGTAAATGCAAAACTGTCAAATAGAATGGTCTACAAACATGACACTTTATTTGCTGCACAACCCGAGTCATTGCCTGAGTCTATGCGCAACAAATATTGCACTTTTGAAAGATATTATTGTCAACAGAAGATTATATATGTAATATGTGTGACCATGATTTCATCCCAGGATTTATGGTGGTATACACATGCATGGGCATACAGGAAGGAAAAAATTAGGGGGAGGAAAGAAATTTGCCTGACTTTTTTGGATTGTGCCCGCGTTGTTAAAAAAATTTCCGGAGAAACTTTCCAAAATTGTTGTCAACGGGGGGGGGGGGGGGGTGATTACGAAGAATTCCTATTAGATAGATAGCATATTTCCCACAAAATTGACAGAATTCCCCACAAAATTGACAGAATTTGTCCCATTTATTTTTATAATAAGCCAATATTGCCCAAGTGTGAAGCGAATATTGCCCGACTGGCTTTGTTTGCTCCCTGCCGCCCCCCCCCCGCCCGGTACGCCCATGGGTATACAAATGTAAATAGAATTAAGCTAGAATGCCTGTTATGTGGACTAGAAACATTGAAGTGCATAATCAGTCACCCAGTTTTGATTTCCTATCATTTTTAATACAGATTGCTATACAATCCCAAAAATGTAATGTCCGCAACAGTTTCAGTGTAATGTCCGCAACACAAACTTTGCACTATAAAGGCTGCGCAAGGGCATTGTAGAACATCTCGTTTTCATATTTTTTAACCCCAATTATCACTGAGAGCAGGAAGTGTTTTAGTTCCTTTGATACCTTTCAAAGTTCACAGGAAATTACATTTTAAAAACATCACTTCAATGTGTGGTTGATTTTGCTGTAATGTCCGCAACAGTACTTTGACTTTTTATTGCAAGAATTGATTACGAGGGAATTTTGTTTTATTTCATGAAATCTTAAGAGGTCCCCTTAAGGTTTTCTATGACAAAGTTCCCAGATCTGAAACTGTTGCAAACAGGAAACATGAGCATGTTTTGTATTAATTGTTTTTCTGTGAATGTAATGTCCGCAACGTGAAATTGCCCATTTATAGACTCGTAAACATTGAAATTTGGCTTTGCAAGAATGCCTAAGACATATAGAAGACTCACGACAGAAAACATACTTGCTGCAAAGGCAATGTTCTGAGTTTAAGGGCCTAATAAGTGGAAACCCATCATCCCTTGCGCGCTCAGAGTTTAAGGTTTTGGGTTTAGGAAGGATAACCTGAATTGAATCAGCTGTATAATATAAGGCTCGTTGACCTGGTCTCTGTAGCTCAGTTGTCAGAGAATTGCATTGGAATCGAAGGTTCGACTCCTTTTGGAGGTCCTATTGCCATTTGCGTTTTATTCGCAACTACTTACGGTTAGGTTTCAAATATATATATCAGTTTTGTCTCAAAATTTCCATCAACAAAACTTTCAACAATTCCAGTGCAAGGCCCCTTACATGCAATCGTGCCAATAGAACGTTCCGAAAAATGTTGACCAGTTCATTTCCTAACTTCGAGGAGTTCCTCTGAACAATTCCTCAACAATTTGATAAGTTCCTTAAAAAGTTCCTAACTTCCTGTTTCATTGACCAATCAGATTGTTCAAAAATAAAATATAAAATTTGATTGGTCAATGAAACAGGAAGTTAGGAACTTTTTAAGGAACTTACCAAATTGTTGAGGAATTGTTCAGAGGAACTCCTCGAAGTTAGGAAATGAACTGGTCAACATTTTTCGGAACCTTCTATTGGCACGACTGTAATTTTCTCTCAAAATTTACATAAAGGCATCCAGGTGATCTCGTGTTCGTATTTTAGCCAATCAGCGCTCAAAAAGGGTTGTCCGAATAGAAATTCATTTTGATGTATTCAGTCAATTATATCTTTCGTTATTCTTTATGAAACTAGTTGAAATTTTGTAATTATGTTTGGTTATGAGAACTATAGCTCTGACAAAAATATGGAATCGAAATAAAGTATATTACAGGAGATATTCAGTTGTTTTAATCACGAAATGGATTTCTATTTGACAACTAGTGCCAGTACTTTTCCGCGTATCAAGATCATCTGGATGTTATTGAAGATTCTCTGTAAAAAGGTCTACACTTTTTAATCATAATCAATCAATGGAAGAAATGGTTTGCATAATCAGCAAACAATGATTTTTGACATAATCAAGCAATCATGCAATGGCATCGTCATGTCGAATCACTCAACCGTCGTGTTGTTCAGAAATGATTATATTACAATAAGCAAGGTTTTACTCGTTGATGTCGTCTCAACATACAATCGTAGTTCATTGTTAAAACTTTGCCAAGTTTCTAGTCTCTATATTACTATGTTTTAATTCAGTCGGTCAGTGTAGGTGAATTTTAAAATGCAATGAATACCTTATTATAGGAAATTAACGATGCACTTTATCAACGCGACATAAATTAACGTGTCATCTAATTAACGCGAATTGCTTTCAGGTACTTCTAAAACTGATTAAATTAACGCGAATCTGACAGTTTATGGTTAACGAGTTAATTTAACTAACGCGAGTCGAAGAATATATACACAACAGCAAAAGTAAAATATTGTGTACTACCAATTAAAACAGTACGCGAGTAGATATGTCAAAACTGTAACGTTGAAAGTTACAGTCATTTAAGCCAATGTATATTATACAAATAATGAATGTTTATGAGTGCAATGGTAAGAATATTTTCATGAGGTGAAAGATGGAATGTTCCATTCAACGAGGCGACAGCCGAGTTGAATGGAACATTCCATCTTTCACCGAATGAAAATATTCTTACCATTGCACGAAGAAACATTCATTATTTGTTTTATATAATACCAAAAGTCCAGAACAGGCTAATAGATTCGTATGAGAAGCATTTTGAGGGATGCGATTTATCGAAAACACAACGAGTGCAATTGTACTATACGTTTTATTCCATTGCACTCGCGGAGAGTTGCGAAATGGAATTTTCTATTCAATATCACGTGACCATAAACAGCCAATTAAACGATTAGAATTTAATAAGGTATTATATAAAAATATATAGTTCAGCTTAAGATTCTGACAGTGACAGTGAAGAGGTGGACTGATGTTTTTGTTTTGAGGTTTAATATGAAGTATTTTGAGTTAAAAGAGTTCGTGTTATATAAAACAAATCAAGGTCTTTTTAATTAACGATAACTTAAATTTGCATGCTTGAAATTAACGATAATATAAATTAACATTAATTAAATTAACGCGGATTTTTAAAATCCGCGATAATGAAGTGCATCGTTAATTTCCTGTAATAAGGTATATACTCAGTATACGGTTCGGTGTCTAAATACTTATCCCGTTTTCTTTGTGTTTGTAGGAATGTAAGTCGGAATTGAACTTGTTCACGAAGATCAGATGATTGCGTATATGCAAGTGTAAGGTTGTGTGTAAATATGACACTCATGGTATATTAATATTAGATATAGGATATTGTAGATGAGGTATACATACTGTATTTGTAATCATTGGGTGAGAAGATGGTGTGAATAAAATAAAGATGTGATGCGTGGTGTACATGGTTTCAGCACTGTATATAACTGAGACTAAATAAGTTCGTTTGTCATCCTTGAAGCCTGTTTTCCATTTCAGCCGTAACGTACGGTAGAATTTCCTTTCGTTTCGAGATCGTTAGCCTCAGGAAACAAGGAATATATGCCTGCATGCCTCGTCCTCAGTCGTTTTATGTGAAGTCAGGAGGGGACATCGATGAGTTGATTGCAAGCGCGTGAATCTTATTATTAAATAAAATTGTCTCTGAATTGTCAAGTGCTGTAATAGTTACCTTATTTTTGTAACTAGACACTAGGTACAGATACGTCATCATAAAAGTAACTAGTTACCGTTACAAGTTACAGTGAATAAAAAGTAACTATAGTTACAGTTACAGTTACAAGAAAATCCATCAAGAAAAACTATCCGCGTATAGTCTACTCAGGTCTCTGACCAACTTTTCTTGACGGATGATTTTGCTGTCTACCTGTCCACAGTAAATACCAGAATAATTTTTTATTCGGTACAGTTGCCAAAATACATCGTAATATACTACTCGCCCATCTTGGTGTAGGCACAAAACGATCTACCCAGGCGAACTACCTACTCTAACTAGCTCGTCTGATTACTTCGTATTGTGCTTGCACTAAGACGGACGATTCGTCAGACGGATCAAAACAAAAACAATTTTAATGCTTAAAAACGATCTAATTACATTTTCTACTGTTCAGACAACATTCGTTTGCGTAGTTTTATTATATCAGTACTAATACTATATAGTAAAAATATGTAAAAAATGTTTAGTAAGTACTATTTACAACACGAGCGGCCGTGTTGTATCGGATATACAAACTCGAGCCGAAGGCGAGAGTTTGTATATCCGATACAACACGGACGCGAATGTTGTAAATGGCTTAAAAACGACTCATCTTATGAGTTCATTGGCGAAGTAATTTTAAAAGTAAACGTTGTCTAAGCCGAGAAAATCAAAGTTAAAGTTTATGTAAATCAACATGAATCTCAACCTCGTTCCCAGGCTCTTTGCTCTTGGGAAGCAAAGACCCTGGTCGGAGCTGGTCACGTGAACCCCCAGATTTTGGGGGTAAATTGAATTTGATCTCAGGGAGGGGTAGTAGAGTAGTCTGTTTGTTGCGTTTGGAAAATTGCAACTTTATGTCTTATAATTTCGGGTGATAAAAATGTAATTTGCAACAAGAGATTGTGCAAGGAACTGTTCTAAATTCGTACCGATCATGACAAGACTTCCTGCTATACTGAATGTCATCAATAATAAGTGTTGCGTTACATTTCAAGCGAGAAGCTGGATCATATTTCACTTGCAAGGAAAACACTCCACACGCGCCTGGCTTGCGAAGTTTAGCACGTATCGCCGTAGAAACATACATATCTTCTACACAGACTGATCGATCAAACGGTATTAAACGAACGATATGGTTCTTTATAGTTGAAGTGTATCCTGTCCGATATTCAAAACAAAAGATTTATTTTATAACGGGATCCTTTGTCTTTGATTTCCCAAACATCGCCAACATGTGTAAACAATAGTGCTATTCTGACTGTAAAAGCACAGGATTAAGACCCGTTATGGACTGGCTATAAAATTCATTTCATTTACATTGCTGAAACTCAACGATCAAGAAAGATAATGTCGAAGTGTAGTTCATTTCATTTACATTGCTGAAACTCAACGATCAAGAAAGATAATGTCGTTATGTCGAAGTCTTAGCTAGCTATCTGTTATCAAACAAACGCCAAGACCCCTCCGTGCGTTTCCGTGCGTGCGGTACAACTTGAATATCTAGGACGATATATGCACCAGACACTGGTATTGTACTTTATATAAATTATTTCATATTTTGTATATACAGTAATTTGCAACATGTATAATATTAGACCTTTCATTGACATTGGCATTGTCCATTGAGGGCTTTATTGAAGAATAATCCAGCTTCTTTAGACTTGTATAATGGATTAATGCCGCTGTGAGTTATCAATATTTAAATCAACTTTAATCTTTATCGTATACTGTAAGCTGTGAGTTATCAATATTTAAATCAACTTTAATCTTTATCGTATACTGTAATCGATCGCGACATTGTAGAAGTTTTGTCTGTTTTACCAAACAATACTGGAGGCAAACAACCTATCTATCAATGGAAACTTTAAAAGGTTTGTTACAGTAAAACTCATTGATATATTAAGCGGCGAGACTTCGTGTGCATATACAGTTTATGAATTATGTATATCCCTGATAAAACGTAGGACACTTTATACCAGATATAATAAAAAATACTTTGCTAAACCTTTTCGGCTGTCATTCCTTTGCATTTAAGGGGAGAGGGTAAATGGCGATAGAATTTATAGGAGATGCTGTGCAATATTTTGGCTTCAACAGACAGGTACTCGTGCAGACAAAAAAGGAAATTCATGCAGTTTTGAATTGTCGTATGTCAGCTGTGCACTGTCGATTTCAAACAATTTTGTACGTTATATTTTGTCTTCCTGGTGTTTAATATAAACGATGATAACCTTTTAAAAAAAAATCTAGAGCAATATGTCTATAAACAGTTTAAGTCAATAGAATGGACATTCAATGTGTATTTGGCTTGTGTCCAAATGTGTCAAGGCGCTAATCCTACGACCTATAAACAGTCGCTTTCGAGACATCTGTTTAATTAACAAAATTTATACCGTGTCCATATTAAAACAATTCATTGGCATATTATAAGCATATTATAAAAATCAGAGCCAGAACAGAAACGCAAGCGTGAAATGAAACTACGCCCGAACCGGCGAACCCCGAGAAAATAAAAATATTTCAAAGCGTACAGTCATACGTTCTCGTTGCTTGATTTCCTGAATTTTCTGTTGCTATAAGAATCTGCATTTTAGCATGTTTGTATAATTTAAAAGCAAACAGAAACCAATTTAGCCAGTAGTTTGAGGTATATATGATTCTCGAAGATGAATTAGAATGAATTAGATGATTGTACAGAACGGCCACTCCTTGCAATCGAAGTGCGGAAGTGGAAACATGTAATATGAGACTTTTCCATCCCCCTCTTGGGTAGCCTGCTCGCAGGCCGTTGTCAGGCAGAGCCTGTGAGCAGGCTACCTCTTGGGCTATCAATTTTCTATGGGTCACGTGACCAGCTCCGACCATGGTCTTTGCTTCCCAAGAGCAAAGAGCCTGGGAACGAGGTTGCATGAATCTGTATCACATAAGGCAGACTCCTTCACGCCCATGATTTCTATTGTGTTTTCTTGAATTATTAATGATTTTTTAATAATAATAACACTTTAACGAGGATTAACAGATAAATCTACCACTTGTTTCCGATCTGGTCCTCTAAAATTACATTAATACACATTTACATGCAGACATTACAATCGCACAATATTAAACTTATAGGCTATCTATCAACAAATATATCTAATAGTTAATAAAATTCCTATTAAATCCTTTTAAAGGCTCTACGTGAGGTGATTTTCTTTGCCACGTTTTGAAATCTGTTCCACAAGGAAGGAGCCAGGAGCCGTTTTACCGGCTTTGGGAAGATACAAGTTGTTGTTTTGTAGTGTCCCTGTGGTGTGGAGTAGTGGTGTTTCGGCTTTGTAAGAGCATGTTAAGGCAAGGTGGATTGGTTTCGTGTAAGCAGTTGAAGGTTTGTAGAAGGATGTGTTGGCGGATGGTATCGTTTATGAGAAGGATGTTAAGTTGTTTGATTAGGCTTAGGGATGGAGTAGTGAAGTCTGCGCTCAAAAGAATCCTGGCAGCTCTTTTTCGGCGTCACATCCTTACTGGCACTCAGCGAGGGAGAAAATTGCGTTCAATGGCTCAGGCCATATTGGGAAGCCATTCAGCTTGCGTTGTTAAAGACAAACCACTTGATTGTTACTGTTTCTTCATCTGTCCAGCGAAGAGACGTCGCTTTCACTACATCTATATCGTCACACATGAGCGCGCGCACTCAATTACATTACGTCACAATACCAAATCCCACAAAAAAAGTGGGATTTCGCAAAATTGACAAAAGCAAGACAGAAAACAACTTAATTCAACATCAACTGGTCAAAAGAATTCGAGTGTGTATATAACTTTAAAAATATCCTTACCTTTAAAGCGGCAGTTTTGGCCGTAGTAAATTACGCCGACAGACGAGGTTGTACCCTCCTACCTCGAGGGCAGGGACGGAGACAGCCCGTACTGGACATGAATTAGGAACAGTTGCCACACAGCTGAGAATGAACGAAATCGCTTAGGAACAGAACGCTTAGAACGAAGACGCACAAAATGTAAGGAAGATCCATTTGCACGTCTTCACATCGCAAATAAACTTTGCCAATTAAAAAATGATTATCTGCGTCACTGATTGGTTCACTACATCAGCTCATGTCATTCGCCCCAGTTTTCTGGAAAACTTGCGTCTCAGTATAAGTCAAGAGAAATCTTATTTCATAAAATTGCTTTCTAAGCCATACAAGTTTCATTCATGGGGCCTCTACATGCCTTTTTTAATATTTCCCTTTTCTAATATTTCTCTAATATTGAATTACAATCGAACATTTCCTCGTAGACAGTTGTAAGCTGTCATTTAGAGGATACGAATCTTGGGTCTAGCCAAACGTCTATTATACGACAATTCTTAGCACACGTAATTATATGCGAAGATAAAATAAAACATATAACAACAGGAATTTGGAACCATAAAACACCAAGATATGCAGCGACAAGCCGCTCCATTCTTGTTCAGTTCTGGTTGAGATGCAAAGCAAGCAGCAACGGGCCGCCCAGCCATTCCAAAATTCGGGTGAGTCGTGTGCCGTAACTAGCTTAGCGTAGGATTAAGTTCGGATTCTTCAGGGAACAGTTCACTTACAATTTCGCGCATGTCGGAACAGATCTGCAGATGGTCTGTTACAACTTGTTCTCAACTATTTTAGACAACTGCAAAGAAGCTATTACTTTACAAATTCTACTGCTATACTCATACATGCATGTAAGTAATTATAAGAGATGCTTGCTTATTTAGCGACAATAATTAACCAAAAACTTGCTCGAGTGGGTGAATCGATAATTTTTTCCGAAACCCACACAAAAACAAACATATTTTAGGCTGTTTGGTTAATTTAATGAAAACTCTACGCATTTCAGTGAACACAAACACTCATTATTACCACATGATCATATATCTGAGAAACGTTACTTTAAAGTTTTTACAGTTTAAAATACACCTGTAAACATATTCTGTGTTTCTTGTGCAATTACTACACAGTCACTTAAAATCCACCGTATCCTCTGATCAATGTTCCAAATACCTATTGTAAGTACACAATGCAGCCAAGATGCACATTGCAGGACAGTCTTCTGCCTGGAATACAGTCGGCACTCTGGTACGTCCAGCGTCGACGGTGCATCAACTTTGTGGATTTATTACTTTTCTTTATATTTCCTTTATGTATATCACCTTCCTTTGGTTTTCATTTTTTGCCGTCTTGATTTTCCTAGCCTCTTCGCTTTAGTCTACAAAATAAAATAAAATGATCCATTTGATGTGCCAGCTAGGGAAAGAGTGCGCGCAGGAAATGAAATATTCGACTATACAGTTTCCATGTGCGCATCAAGCAACGGCGTAGCAAACCAAAGCGCCTGAGATCGAGGCTGGAGTATTTTGTACAATTTCAAAAGTTCTACTCCAATGTATACGATGTCAACCTTGAAACATGAAAATAACATGGCAAAAAGTGCGTTTTTGATATATACTAAAAATCGTCAACGGTTTGTATATCAGGCTTGAACCGCTTGATTGTTCTTGAGCACTGTTTACAACATGAGCGGTTGTGTTGTGTCGAGTGAAACGTCTTGATGAGAACGTTTGGATTCTTCAACAATTTATAAAATTTAGTGATGCACCGATATCCATATCGTATATCGGTGTATCAGTATCGGCTTATCGGTACTAAAATAGAAATATCGGTATCGGTAATTTTGTTGTTGATATTATCGATATCTAAGGAAACTAGTTAAACGAATTCTTTACACCTAAAAATTACGAATAATCAAAGTTTTGATTTGAAAGTATTGAAAATCAAAATCTAAAAGTGGAAACACTATACAATATACATGCATTTGCAAAATTTCCCACCTGTTAAGAAGGCGAGGAAGGTATGAGAACGTTCACAGGCTAAAAATATTTATAAAATTGCAACTTTTGCGTAATCTTATATATCGGAACTACCTCGTATTCCGATGGAAATGTCCAATAATTCCTACTATTCCGTATTTTTAGATGAATGAATTATCTCCCAATATAAAGTATATGTTTTAAGGAGTGGTTTAAACCATATTTGGTTTTGAGGCTCTCGGCTAGATTTTAAAATATTTTATATTTTTTTTATTTCATTGTACTAACCTTTACCCCCGTAAATAACCCCGTATTAAATTGGAGAGAGATGGAAACGTATTCGCATGATTTCAAAACTGCTCATATTTTCTGAATCAATAAAGTCTAATCTTTCAACGAATATGCTTTTACGAACAGGATTAGCAAACACATGCAATTTCTAGCGGCATATCCAGAGGCACTTTTTCAGACTACTACAGACTACATTAGACGGTTGTGCTGTTTTTGATATCAACCCGTATTTTCATATGAACAATACTTTGATTAGTGAATTAAGAAATCTTTGAAGAATCATCGACTAGATTTTTTACAATCTTAAGTTGAAAATTTAGCTTTTTCCTATTTTTAGCAAAATCACGATTTTTGCACTAAGTGTTTTCAAAGATTTAATCATAAATGAACTTTCCAAAGATATTTCTGAGTAGAAAAATGCGTTAAAAACAAATTTTCAACCCAAACCTGAGTTTATTTTTTAATTTCATCTGTCCAGGGAGTGAAAACAACTTGCATCATCGAAAAAAGTTAAATTTCGTCAACATTTCGTCGTAGAAATAAATAGTTTATAATTGTCCAATTTCAGTTTAAAGTCTTTTATCCAGGACATTTTTCAACAGCCCTTAAATAAACGAACTCAAATTCTTGCACATCCACAGTTTTCGTCCCAAACGAGAAGCCCCAAAACTTGTTTTTGCTCATTTTAATAATTTAAAACAAAATTTTCGGTAGCGCCCGCAATTTGCTGGCCAGCGACAGCAAATTTCCCACCTGTTGCATTTGCAGCATTTCATTCAGTGAACTGTAATAACACTGGAACGCTAACTGCAGATAAACATGCCCATACTTGCCTGAAGCTTCCTGAAGCCAACATGGCGCTTCTCGCGAGCTCGGCGAGCAATAAATTAACTTTCAAAAGGACTGGGGAGAGTTTCGAGGAGCGGGAAATTCAGTCAAAAGTTTGTTTTTGAGCGAAAATCAGCAAGAAAAAGCACTTTTTTATCAAAAGGCTTCAACTTAAAAGATTCAAACCTGGTTTCCTGGATAGTCCTAAGTATTTTACATCCACTAACAGCAAAAACTTCCTGGGTAACAGCTTGATATTCAAAATATTACACAAGTTTGAACGTGCCGAAAAAAACTTCGCACTTTGACTCCTGAAAAAAAGAACTTTATAATAGTCTAGGACCTGTATATGAGTTTGTATGCGATTCATTTAGGACAGGTAATCTCAACTGTTTTAGGGTAAAATGACCATGGCGGTCAACATGGCATATGTGCGAAAACCTGAATCCGGGGCGAAAGTCCTGAAAATGACCACGCCCTGAAACAACTGTGTCGACATAGCTCTAACTTCCGAAAAGGAAAAGCGATAGCCTTTCTGAAGTGCTTATAGTGTTTAGAAGGGTTGCTTTTAGGGGTGGTCATTGGAAGGAAAAATTTGTCGAAGTATAATATTTTACCAGAAAATGACTATGCACCACCCCAGGTAAATTGCTGATTATGCACAAAATAACTAATATGCCTGGCAGAAATTAAATATTCTTATTTCCTAAAAAAAATTATCATGGGGGTGAAAAACTATGCTTAATTTAATATAAATATTGCTGATTTCATAAGGATTGTCATTGTTTTCTTTAAATATAATACATTTTATTTCACTTACCCCCAACTTCTTCGTTTCCATATGTATTTAGATTACAGTATCCAAGAGTACTTCATTGTAGAATAGTCCCAATCCAAAAATTGGCAACATTTGTCCCATTAGGAAGGAAAAATCCTCCCGTAAACCATTTAGGTTCAAAATAAAAAACAAATCATTTGAAAGTCACGCGCAATCTTCGCAAAATGACAAAACTACGCAAATATTTATTGTTTTTATTATAAATCATAAAAATACAATATATTTAGTTATGTTTCTGTGGTGGCGAACATATTCGTGAAAATATTCACCCTCCCCCCTCCCCCCCGTCATGTGTCCACGAGAAGTTTTCGCGAAGATTGCGCGTGACTTTCAAATGATTTGTTTTTTATTTTGAACCTAAATGGTATACGGGAGGATTTTTCCTTCCTAATGGGACAAATGTTGCCAATTTTTGGATTGGGACAATTCTACAATGAAGTACTCTTGGATACTGTAATCTAAATACATATGGAAACGAAGAAGTTGCATTTATCAGACAGAGAAGCGGCGAGCCATTAAAATGGCGGCAATTTGTCGGAATATCGAAGGACACAATATCGAAGGTAAAATACACTGCACTGTTACAAAAGTGGATGAAACCTTCTTTGAAATCTTCTTCAGCCATTTATGATTATGTAAAAGTACAATAACTGGATGATATTTGCGAGATTCGGCGATAAAAAGCAAACAAGACGGCAAAATATGGCTGAAATCGTGTTTTCGTGGGGGGTAAGTGAAATAAAATGTATTATATTTAAAGAAAACAATGACAATCCTTATGAAATCAACAATATTTATATTAAATTAAGCATAGTTTTTCACCCCATGATAATTTTTTTTAGGAAATAAGAATATTTAATTCTGCCAGGCATATTAGTTATTTTGTGCATAATCAGCAATTTACCTGGGGTGGTGCATAGCATTTTCTGGTAAAATATTATACTTCGACAAATTTTTCCTTCCAATGACCACCCCTAAAAGCAACCCTTCTAAACACTATAAGCACTTCAGAAAGGCTATCGCTTTTCCTTTTCGGAAGTTAGAGCTATGTCGACACTGCCGTTTCAGGGCGGGGTCATTTTCAGGCCTTTCGTCCCGGATTCAGGTTTTCGCACATATGCCATGTTGACCGCCATGGTCATTTTACCCTAAAACAGTTGAGATTACCTGTCCTAAATGAATCGCATACAAACTCATATACAGGTCCTAGACTATAACTGCTCTACGTTCTGGAAACATTAAATTTCAGATATAGTTGAAAGTTTTTAGCTTTTTTCCTTGTTGAAATACAGCTATTTAGTGTCCGAAAACAGACAACTTTTAGGTGGCGTATTTTCCACTCCATACCTACATGGCGGCCATCACGAGTGGCTTCAAAGATGGCCGCCAAGTTATCGTTCCAGTTCTCTTAGAGTTCACTGATTTCATTTGATATTTTCAATATTTAGAAACAATTGAATTGAATTAAATTCAAAAGTATTAAAGTAGAACTGTCATGATGTTATCTTTGAATTTTGTGAAATGACATAGAATATCGGTTCGGCAAAATATCGGTCCTTCAATATCGGAATATCGATGAATTTCGACTAATTTAACTGTCTTAAAGTTTATGTAAATCAGCTGATTCAGCATTATTTTGTATCAGATATACAAACTCCTTCACGGTCGTGATTTCCTTTGTGTTTTCTTTATGTTTTATTTATGATTTCACAATATAAATTTTTCGGTAACATTTTCCTAAATTTATCAAAATTTTTGCTATAACTATTACTTTTTAATCAGAGCCACTCAAATGTTTTCGCTGACTATACGAAAACAATTTGCCGACAAATCTGTTATTTTGCCGACAAGATGTTTTCAAGGGGGGGGGGGGTCACCCCCCTATAGCGACGGCCCTGCTACTTTCAGATAGTTTACTGTAGAATATCCTGCATGGAGCACACCTAATCATGAATTCTTATTTTTACCAAGTAATCACGCCGGCTCCTGGCAATATGTCATCTTATAATTACAAATAAAGTAAGTGTAATGTTTGGTAATTTGTGGTCAAATAACATTGCCTCAGAACGACTAACTGTTAAACGTGCAGTAAACTCGAAAAAACCCTAAATATTTACCTTTGTCTTTGTTCTGGGCGCTTTGCTGTGTTTCGCAGAACTGAATGTACTAACATCAGCTACACTTTCTGCTGTGTTTCTTTTCTTTTCTCGCTTCTTTCCACCAAAGCCGTACTTTGAATCCTGTGAAAAATAAAAATTATCTTCCGTTTAACTATGACCCTTAGCCATGGCACGAGAATATAGAAACAAACTAATGCCATGTATTTATCACTTATTTACTGAGACCGATGGAAACAGTGTGTTTTGTGGACAGTGTGTATTGTGGACCGCCGTTGTTGCCCGAGGCGAAACCGAGGGCAACAACGGCGGTCGAGGGGACACTGTTCTCCCGAGGTCTCAGTAAATAAGTGTTTTATTTTATTTAGTGTTTTGTTATATTTACTAAGTGTTTTGTTTATCTTTTAGATAATTAAACTTCTTTTGTATTTCTCAGGTAGTTGCATCTTCTAATGTTGAGCTATATGCTTCAAAATATTAAAATATGTTTGAAGAAATTGGTGGCATCTACGAATACTGCATGCTATATATAAACGGAAAACTGTAATCTACTGTACAGCTCAAAATAAAAACTTTGCAATTATTGAGTATTAATAATTTCGCACAAAATGTCCTCAGAATATTAATTAAAGTATATAAATATAAATTTTTAATAAGAATTTTAGAACTTGCCTTTTTTTGCCTCTTTGCCGATTTGCTAAAAATATAAAAATACAAATCGTTAATTCAAGATAAAAAGGTATTATGTAGATGTACAAAGTTGCAGTGTATACACTACTCATTTGGTGCTAAAAGTATCACTGTAGTGTTTCATCATATCAACGCAAGTTGAAACAATATATACTATAAAAATATGTGGTTTGTATGCACTGTACACTTGATTGCATGGCTTCAATAGACCAATCCCCAATTAACCAAAATTTTGAACTCAACAAATCTAGACAAAAATTTCATCACAGCTTGAAAGAGCATCACAAAATTAGTATTATTCCAAAGTTTCGTTGCAAAATGTTGTAAAATGCGGATAATATAGCATTGCGAAGTTTGCAATTTTCAGTCATTTTAGATTACAAACGGGAAATGATTACCACTTCTGTGCGTAATACAAAATGACTGAAAATTACGGCTTCGCAAGGCTATATTATCCGCATTTTACAACATTTTGCAACGAAGGTCCATTTCAATGGACCAATCCCCAATTTTAATTGGGGATTGGTCCATTGAAAGTAGTGCAAGGTCTTTATACTACAATCTAATGCCTTGTTACTGCTTGCATGGTGTAAATTATTGACAGTCAATTAGAGGCAAATTTAACTGAATTTTATATGTACAGTACGTTATTTTGGTCTTTTAATAAGGCCGAGCATAGATTCACCGCCATGCACGTAAATGTTCAGTTGAGAGCCCAATTTCAAATGTGGACGCTCAAATTCCAGGTCCTGGCTAAGTACTTGTATATACAATACCTCTCATTAAATATGACAAATCAATCGATCATAACGTTTATAAAGCAAACAATTCAGTATATACATAAATATCCAAAGATAAACAATACCCTTGTGCCTTGTTCGGTGCTGGTCTTTTGGTTCCCTTTTCTGTATTCACATCGAACTCGTCATCATCTTTTAGAAACTCCGGTTTCCCTTTTTGTCCTATTCATGAGAAACAAGTGCCTAAATGTAAATCATGACAGCCCTGTATATATTTACTTTCTTTGCAGGTCGCGTACCGTTTTAATTCGTGTCCGGGAAAATTGCGAGTCGTGAGACCGGGGAAAATTTTTGAGCAATCAAGCTGCTGGCCTTAGATGGTTCACAAAGTCAAGTTTGTTTGACAAGAAGAAATATGGTAAAAGCCTGAGATGAGCCTGAAATTTTACAAAATAGTTGAAATAGACTAAGATTGAATGGTAAACGACAATAGAAAAGAATATGTTATTTATTATTCATTGATAATTCATAATTTTAAGTTTGAACTAAAATTGAAATACCAAAAGTCTTGTCTCACTATACTGGACTTGAAGTCTCTAATCCAAACCCTTAAGAATCCAAATCAAGATGGTTGACAACATGAAGGTTCGAAACAAAGAACGGTGCATGAGTCAAAATTGCATCGTATCAATTTATGAAATCTGCGTCTTGAAATCTGAGCGCCGCGACGGTAAAAATTACAAAATTGAAATTTTCAGAGAATATTTTCTACTTGTGACCCAGGAAAATCTTTGCAGTTCCCTCAAGTTACTTACAAGTAACGCGGTATATTATCACCAAAATCCTAACATCTGACACCCATGACGTAATTTTTAAAAAGTATTTACTCAGGTGTAGTTTACAAAAACATAGAAGCCTGGGGAGGAGGTTACGTTGAGACCAACCTCAACACATACAGTACAGTATCATAAAAATGTTAATTCAACTGTTTTGACGAAAACGTGACGATTCTTGCGAGTCTAAAGTGTTCGGTAAAGATGCTGTATATAGTGATTACAAAATTTATCATTCTCGAGCGGGCAATACCTTTCCTGTACTTCTTAACTGACTCTAACATCTGTTTCTTTTCTTGCTGCCTTTTTTGCATCACTTCTTGTTGGACCTAAAGTAAAAACATAACCCCATTGCTATCAGATGAGTTATAACAGAACAATTTACTATCTTTATTACTATCAGGTATAACTTTAACATTGAAGATAAAATGAGAACATCAGAGGATCATGTGGTTTTTCAGAGAACAATCATAAAATTTCAACTATAGGCAGGGTGCGATAATTCAAGATTTTTAATCGTACCTGACTGAGTGACTGGTACACCAATGGTTGTTGCCGCGTACTTGCGCTAGTACAAACTCAGCACTCAATGAGTACTTAGTCATTAAATTAAGATTCATAAAGTACAATCATGTTTCTGAAGAGCATGTTCAGACTATGAGGTAGAAAAAGGTTTCTTGGTGCCATTAGTCCAATCATGCTTCATGCCAAGACATCTCAGACACATGATATACCAACTAAATTATGGTATTGAATACCTTGGGCTTGAACGTACTGTACAGTAAATACGCGAAATATCGCACCCTGATAGGAGTTACAGTTGTAAACACATGCATAGAAAACAGTGGCGGGCGATTGTTTTGAATTAAATTTTTTTAGGTAGTATACAGTACATTAAAAAAGGCGTGCATAAACGATCGTGACAAAATATATAATATAAATATATCATTTGTAAATTCTGAACGCTGATTGGCTAAGAGCCGTGTTAATATAACTCAATGTCAACAGGGAAACGTCGGAAAATTTCTTTCTTTATATTTCTGTATCATTGTATTTATATTTCTGTGTATTGCTATATATCATAAAACAAATATAATACATTTTTTTCCGTATTGATATACAGTTATTATAATATCAACACTCGTGGAAATTGGGAAAACTCGAAATTGTGTGAAAACACTCGTCGTGTTTCCACACAATTTCTCGTTTTCCCAATTTCCACTCGTGTTGATATACAGTTGTATATCAACACGGAAAATGTTTTATATTTGTTAATTGTAACTTTAGTTAGTCTGATGATTCTGAAATATAATCGCACTTTCACAAACTCATCTTGGTTTGACTCATATCTTGAGTTTCAAGATGCTAATGTTCGGATTGTCCTTTGTCTTGTACAATACATTTACCTTTTTACCATATTTCTTCATCGCCCTTAGTTTTCTTGCTTTTTCAGACTTCTCCATGGCTAACTCCTTTGTGACGAGCTTCTCCCGTACCTAAAAAAATTATCTATCAATATAAGCATGTCCCAAATGTGGACCACATCTTTGTGAAAATTCGGATTGCTCAATCCATATCAAGGTCAAAAATACAATAGCTATAAAAAAGACATCGCTTAATTTCTGCAGTAGTGAAATATGAATATGACTACAACTAAGTCTCAAATGTCAAGATCTGCAGACCAAACAATCAAAGCTATAGAGTACACTGTATATGGAAAGGTACAGACTGATACAGATATTTCACAGCACACTCCCTATCAGGGCTTTTCAGTGACTGGTTACATTGTGAATACTATTAGATAGATAGAACCAGACTGACGTGAAGCAGACCAAGGTAGACTTTGAGCTTACAAATGGATCTTGAGCAGCCGCTATTAGTCGATACCTCATTAATGATCTGCCCCCTGACCCAAGTGCCTAACCCACCCTGTCAACTTTCCCTTTCGGCAGAGCGTTGACTTTCACTCTTTTCACACGAGGTGAAAGGCAAGTGCGCTAACCACTTCGCCGCCGAAGCCTAAGTAACTCTTAACTAATAACATGACACATTAATTTTATGAACTCTTTTGGAAAATAATTACAGGAACAGCTGTCACCAGGCTGTCACTGAGTATTTTCATTCACTATTTGATAAAAATGCTTTCTTTACTCGGCATGACCGTTGCTTTGTCTTTTAAGAAAGGATAACCTACCTTTTGCATGTGGTCATCAGTTTTCACCATTTCAGCAAAATAATCTGAAGGCCGTTCAATAGCAACACCAAGTTTTTTGAGTTTGGGTAATGCCTCAGCAAATGCCATTTGAGCTTGCTTGTAGCTTAAAAAAAATATTAATATCAACTAATTGAGTGCCCCTTTGACAAGTAAGTCATCGCAGTGAGAGTACTGGTAAATGAAACAATGAAAGTATGGCGCATTAGGATGCTTAAATTGAGGTCAATTTTATTAAAAACCATTAGCCTCATCATTTTCCACACAACATCTTCATGTCAATCTGCAAACTACTGGTAAGAAACATGGTTGCTGTGGAAACATTTGGAAATTCTTCCATCTCTTCCAATGCTTCCCCACTAAAACCCTCGCAAACAATGTTGAAGAAACATATATAACTTGATGTTTGTGATGTTACTCTGAGTGTGTATCCACACGGGGCAAGCTTGTAAAATATGCCTGACCACGTTGAGAACACCGGCCCAATGCTCTGCCAACTGAGCTACGCGGCCAGGTCGGTTCGAGTATGCGATATTTCGGAATTGAGTCTAGTTCCTTCGATATCAATGCAATCTAATAATCATTATTTTTTCTGTGTTGGTGTTATGTACTCAGGTGAACATGATGTTTGTGATCATGTTACTCTGAGTGTATATCCACACCCGGCAAGCTTGAGTGTATATCTGAGTGTATATCCACACCGGGCACGGCTTGAAAAATATGCCCGACTATGTATAACTTGTTTAACACAAAGCAAAAATCTATTCCATGCAACAACATGTTTCCCAAGTGACATTTTTGTTGAGGATTGAAACAATCTTTCCTCTGCATGGTTTGTCTACATTTAGAAAACAAGGCTAGAATGGAAAGAAATATTAAAAACATAGAGCTAGCAAATTATTTGATTGTTTTCAAAAACCACATCCTCTGACTAGAATGATTTATTCATGAGCTTTTCAGTACAGATACAAATTAGATAGACATGTTAATAAGAACAAGTTAGTAATATTACCCTAACCGACAAGGTTTCCTAATTTTTTAGGGCTTTTAACCTGAACTTACAATTTCATTTCCCTCTTGAAGTCATCATGAATATCTGTGTTCTTCTTATCCATTTCATTCTTTCCATCTTCTTTTTCAATATCACATGTTACATCCAGTCTTTCAAACCAATCCAACTCTTGCTTGATCTCATTTAACTTTTCATTGAGTTCAGGCTACAATAATTATAATAATAATAAAATTATGTCAAATTATTTGCTTTGGGAAAGGGGCAGGGGGGAGAGACCAACTTTAAATAATTGATAGTTGATAATTGGTCAACACTGTAAAGCAATGTCACCCTTAAAATCAGGAAAGCCTTGACTGGCAATAACTTTGCATTGCAAGTTGCAACAACAATTGCACATGTGACATCCCCATTTTACAACTTGTCTCGCAAAAAAAAATTGTGAGGTAAATTGCAATTATACAAGTTGAATTTACTTCAGTCTACTTTTCGCAACGCTGCAGAACCTGCTATGTGTAACGTCATGGTTTTTGCCAGTCTAGACCTTCTATTTTTATTATTTTTTAATATTCAGCACTTTTTCACATGTCGAGAAGACTGGGACTAGGCGATTTGGGAGCAGGGTGGAGGAAGGGCAGAAGCGAAAAAATAGATGGCAAATACCATGAGGTCTTAAAATATCGGTCGGTCACAGACATTGTCCGACCCATTCGTGAAATTGTCCGACGTAGAGAGGAAACCACCGGACATTCTGTCCGACCAAAGTGAAACTGCGGTTTATTGTTTGTCCGACCCGAGTGTATTGGTGTCCGACCGACCTGTTGTTTTAACGTAGTCGAGCGCGGGGTGGCGAGTGAAATGGTGAAGTGGAAAACGGTCTTAAGTTGTCAAAGTCTTTTATAATACTGCTGTTCTAGCAAGCAAGTTAATTTTGGCTTGGAAATAAGTATGAAAGAAACAAATTATTTAATATCCTTACAACATTTACCGTTTATTAATTTGTGTCATTCAGACTTATTTCCAAGTCAAAACTGAATTGAAGGTCATCGGACAATTTTATGTCCGACCCAAACTCAACGTCACCGGACATTTTGTCAGATGGCCCTGGAAAAGATATTCTAAGGCCTGAAATACAAATACTTTACGAGGCAAATACCATGGCGATACTTACCAAATGCTAGCCCGAAATTGACCAAACCTGCCAAAGCCAGCCAAGTAAAGGCCTAGGTCTAGGCTGGGTTTTTGCAACTGGTCTCACAGTTTTTTAGGAACATTTAGCCTTAACTCATACCCAGTCCCTCCAATGAGGATTGAACAAAATGATGGTGCATGGGACCATCATGCAACACACACCTCCATCCACTGATCTATATAAATCCTAATTGATGACTGGGTACAAGTCAGCATTTAGCCTTCCCTGAAATCAGGCATCAAGAATGCACATAATTCAGGCGTAAAAAAAACAATCAGTTGAAAAAAGACAAGAAAACGTACTGATGAGAAAGTTAATCTTCTTAAAAGAACTAAAAAAAAACATCTGTCACTGCTCAACATGGAAAACATCCAGCAAAAAATTAATTGAAAGTCTAGATGAGATTAAAAACCAGCACCCTCCGGTCCCTCCCTTAAATTTGCACTTCCATGACCAAAGAAATAAACCAAGTCAAAGAACAGCCAAATTTATTATAAAAGTTTCTGGATATGTAGTAAAACATTAAAGATCTGCATTGTCACTTACGCATACAGGTACATTGTTGCTTAATGGGCTAGGCATCAACTTTCAGTGGAAATTTTAATGCACTTCAATTTTGTACCATGAAGTGATAATTAGTTAAAGTTGTGCCAATGCTACAAAAATGCTGATCAATATATTTTTATGTCCGCAGGAGGTTTGGAAAAATGTCTCTAAATTTGCAACTTACATTATTGTGGCATCATGACATTCCCCACGGGCAGCACAGCCATTCTGCCCTAGTGTGGAAAGTTTGTACTGTGCGCCTGAGATATTAGGCGCGCAATTTTGATGCTTTCGATATATTTACTATCAAATTTTCGCTGACTTTTTAACAGCAATCAGCACCAAAAAAATCTTACTTTGGTTGAATTAAGGTCGGCAAAAATTTGCCCTGGGCGGGGGCAGCCAAGCGGGGGTGCGGGGGGTGCCGCCCCATGCTGTGTCCGTCGGCACAATAAATCAGTTGTCGGCAAAATGAATTGGATCAAGCCAATAGGCAATACCTGATTGGAATGAGATTGTTTGTAGAAAATTTGTAGAAAATGCGAGATCGAAAAGATGGATATGTCGACTGAAAGCTCGGTCCTTTTCCAAACATTCAGCCAAATTGGCCAAGAACTTATTACTCTAATACGCAATTTAATTAATAGTATTAAATTTTCTTGCAATTTTGTGAAATATGATACCATAGGAAACTCGAAGCACATGTGCGTGTTGACTGTTGATGCGTCTGCGCTTCATTTTATAATTTTGTAAAGCCAGTAAAGGTCTCAGAAATTACACTTAACGGTCTTTTATACAATGAGAAATACGAAGATGATTTAAAAGAATGGACAGTAGCAAGCAAAAACGCAAACGGAAGAGAGAGAAACTGACGTGTTTAGTTTGTAATCGGTCGTTTGATGACGATTGGATGTGCTTTTTTGACATTTATACCAGGTATTTTAAGGAACTATTTCGCCTATTTAAAAAATAAATTATCTTACTACTCGAATTTCATCGTTATACATCACTTAAAAATGAATACGGTTCGTTTTGACCACGCACTAACAACGTGCTAGCCACGCCCTTTTGTCGGCACAAAGTTGTCTTGCACCCCCCGAAAAGGATAGTCTTCGCTCCGCCCCTGGACCTGGGAGGTTGATAGGTCGGCATTTAGGTCAGCATTGCCGAGTGCCGACCTCGTTTTTGAGGGCTGTCGCGGTGAAGATTTAAAGGAAGTTGCATGTAAGCCTATTTGAAACACTTTGCAATTTGCAAGGCTTTGCCGAGAGAGCGAAACAGAATACGGTAATTGGCGTTTGAAACGAAACGATCTGGATGCTCTCTTCTTTTGTAGAGTTCTTTACCAAATGAAATAACTGATTCAGAAATAAATTTTGTACTTTCCGCCGCCAACAAGAGTTGCACACACCATCTGATAAGTGAGACAATTTATTTATAAGAATGGCAACAGTGAAGCACACATTAATGCTAATTAATGTGGTCGCACAACTTCCCTCACAATATGAAGTTTGAGATTGGTTTTCTGTTGAAATTCGTCCTAATTTGCCTGTTCCGATTTTAGTTGAAAATGAGCACATGCAAATTTGGCAATTACCGACTGCGTTGCTTGCTTTTTCGGAGTTAAAACGCAGCCATTTACACATTGTTGCTGTTCTGAATAAGCAGAGAAAACCCAGCAACATTTTAATGCGAGTTTGTTGTTAATATTTGGGTTGCTGTCATTGGTTCTTTTTTGACAATTGATGTGTGAATGGGGCGTGTTATGAAAAGGGGAGTTTTACAAAATACTGGGTCTTGCTTGCAGGCCCACTATTGTTCCCTTGGGCCTGCACGCGGGCTAACTCATCACTCATAGTCATTCCCCAGTGACAATGATCAATGATCCATACTGGAAAGTTCGTGCTTCGCGCGCCAAAGATTTTGCGCCGCAATTTTCGCGAAGATATTTCACGCCAAAAAATTCACGCCAGGATATTTCACGCCAAAAGCGATTGGCGAGCCACAAGGAGAGCATTGTGTGAGCATTGTAGGTGGTTCCGGGGGCATTCTCCCCCGGAAAATTTTTGAACCTAGAGTCTCTCAAATGTCACTTCCTGGACTTTGGAGGGAATATTTTGCAGAATTCTGACGGTCAGAAATTAAAACACTTGTTAAATTAGTAAAACTGAGCATTACACATGCGAATTCATGTTATATCGTGTTACACGTGAAGTCGTGAACATACTCGGCTCAAAGGTAAATAATAAAATTGTGTTGACCACGTACTTTAAATATTAAGTTATCTGTTCAGGCTCCTGACTCAGTCGACGATGGTGTTTCCGCAAATTTTTTTCCCGTAGACAGTCGGACTCCGCATGGATATAGTCGGACGCATCATTGACCCGCGTCCAGGCCTCCGCGCGTTATCAATCGATCCCTTCGTAACCCACTGGTACACAATATATAACCCTCATTTCACGTTGTTCTTTTTCGATCACGTGTAGAAAGATGGACGATTTGCTTCGCGATGCCATAGGAAATTTACAAACTTGTTTTTCTGGTTCCGAAAATACTCAAAAACTGTTATTGCGAGTTAAAACTATATATAGTGAAAGCAAATCTCTGTCATGCTTAGGGAAAGCAAATCTCTGTCATGCTTTCAAAAAAATATTGCTGCCCACATTTTCTATTAAATAAATATACCAATAGTTCTACCATTCGTAAATAACTATTATACTATTTCTATGCTATTTGTACTACTTAATACCATTTCTACTATTTGTAAATAACTATTATACTATTTTTATACTATTTGTACTTCTTAATACTATTTCTACTTTTTGTAAATAACTATTCAATCCATGTAACTACGTTTCACTACTGTAATTTCTTTCCTATTACTGTAATTTTCTTCTTACACGCCCCCTGTGGAAATCAGCTTCAGTTGACAGAGTTAGCGTGGGTAAATAAAGTTTTTCTATCTATCTATCTTCTATCTATCTTCTATCATCCCAAGGAAATATTGCAGAATACCCGTCCGCTAGTAACATGATCATATCATCTAGCCAGCCACTGGAACTGGATACGTACTGATATACTGTACCTGATCTTATTGCCTCGTTCTAATATACACAAACTAATTACTCAGACAATATTAAGAATTGATACTATAAAGGAAATATCATGCAAAACTCATTCAATGTTTGATACTACGCTTAGTATGCTTTATAATATAAATTGTTTTTCCCAGCTACGCTAATTAATCATAATCTGTCAAGCACCAATGTCCGGTTGTGAGGAACTGTCAGGAACATTAGCCTACAACGTTACACAGTTAAACCATGCACAGAAATTTGCAAGCAGGCATGTGTTTTCTCTTAGTTGTTTTAACCAGGAACTTTACGCGAGTGATAAACTTTCAGCGATCATAGAAAATTGCAATGGCAAAACATGGTCTCGTCTCCAAACTACGCCAGAATCATGCGTGAAAACATCCTAAGGGCAGGCTAAGGCTAAGTTTTATAACGCACAAAGCCACAATAACTAGTTAACTGCGTATCCACTGCACTAAAAATATAGAGCAGCCTATAGCGTGACAATTTGATCTATTAATGCTAATCTAAATAGAGCTACTGTACCTTTAACCCTATATGACAATTTAATAAATTAATGCTAAGCCACTGTATAGTAGCTACCTTGGCTTTACCACCATGGGATTTTAATCTATTTATTGTTAATCTATTGAGAATAAATATAGATGTATTAATACATCGTACCCATGATGTTTGAAAGGCATAGCTTAAAAAATAGACGGGTATTCTGCAATCGCTCAGATTTTGGCATCTTAACCAAGCAATTAATACAATATTTTGAAATCACCAATTGCGCGCAAGACACACCGGGGGTCGCGTGTATAGTCAAACGGCAAACGCCAGGCAAAGAAAAATTTTACGATATCAGGCATAAAGAGTAAATTAGCTTGCTGTTTTAAAACTGAAATACATAATTATTCTTTCAACACAAGAAAGAAAATATGAAACGAAAACATTCAACAAAAATTTTGCCAAGAAAATTCAAACTTGCCGTTCCCGGAAACGTGAAGCTTAAACTGCCTATTAATAAGAAGAGTATCCGCCGAATGTTTTGTTTAAGGGCGCGGGCAATGATGCGTCCGACTATCAATGAGGAGTCCGACTGTCTACGGAAAAAATATTTGCGGTGTTTCCATATTGAAAACAAAACTGTCAAAACATTTGTATCAATATGTCGAAAAACACCGAAGCATCAGAAGCAATGAAACATATAAATATTGTAGCGGGAAAATTTTTCATTTACGTGAGTACGTGAATTTCGACTTTTCATTCTTTCAAGCTCTAGTTGCCCTAAAATTTGGTACATATGTGTCATTCACGCTGTCACGCCACGCCAAAACCAGAACATTCAGATATTAAGCTAATTATGCGCCATATTTTGGCGCATATATAATTTCTGCATGCCAAAGATCTTTGGCGCAACATACGAACTTTCCAGTATGGTGACAATGACTCATTTATCAATATTCAATCATATTATAAATCAGATAATTAAGTCATCAGTTTAAATATACAACAAATTTGACATGAACAATTTTCCAAAATCGGAGAAGAAATCAGACACCATACCACTTTATTGACAAAAATCCTCTCCACTTTCTCAACCACACGATTCAGGCCAGGTTTCACCTTCCCGGACGAGAACGCATTTTGCAGCTAAAATAATCCAAAATAACGCAAAAAATAAACTAAACAACCCTTGTATAAGAAAGTCAAACCGTCAAAATTGTTTACAACACATGACTATAATACCTCTTCATCTGAAACGCCATCAGAATCATCTGAGAAATTCTCTTCAAACAAACTCTCTTCGTTTCGGGACGCCATATTGCATTAAGGGGAGACGCCGCTTACCACAATGTATTACAGTCACGTAAATGGAGCTTCCACATTGATGTTCTGGAAGGAATTTTTGAATACGTAAAAACGACAATAAATGTTGTTTCTTTCACATTTCTTCTCAATTTTAGTAGCCTTGTGCATAGGCGTACCGGGCGGGGGGGCGGGGTGGCGGGGGGGCGGTAGCCCCCCCAGTTTTTTGGGCAGTCGGGCAATATTCGATCAACAGTCGGGCAATTTTGGTTAGCAATAAAAAAAAAATGGGACAAATTCAGTAAATTTTGTCTAAAATTAATTTTTGAAAAATATGTGTTATGTTCCGAAAAATATTGGTTGTCCGGAAAATTTTTTGGACCCCTAAAATGGTACACTGACCGAAATATTTTTGGCGACGGGGGGGGGTCGCCAAAATAATTTTTCCGGAAAAAAATTTTTGGTACTAGTCGGGCAGAATCCCGAAAAGTCGGGCAATTTTCTTCCCGCCCCCCTAATTTTTTCCTACCGGTACGCCCATGGCCTTGTGGCCCTTGTAACAGTGGCGTAACGCTCATTGGGTAGGGTAAGGGTAGGGTTAGTTAAAAAACTAAGTGCCCCCGACAGTTAGGCCTGGGGCCCCCATCAGCCACGGCCTATCGTCCAGCAAATTAGAAAACGTAAAAAATGCAGGTTAAAAAAATGCAGGTTGAAAAAATGCAGGTTTAATTTGACCAATCAACTTGTAGGATTTGAAATATTCATTTGTGCAAAAATACTAAAACTGAATATTCGTTGAGTTTCGTTGAGTTGTGCACATGGGCGTACCGGAAGGTTTTGCCCGACTAAAAAATTTTTTCCGGAATTTATTTTGGCGACCTCCCCTCCCCATGTTTAGCGAGCTTAAGATCTACAACGCGAACTTACGACGCGGACGTCGCATTAAACAAGTTTTATTTTAAAACGATGGCAAATACCATTAAAATATTTTTATCACAGTAAATAAAATGAAATTATACTGGAAAAAATGTACAACATAACAGATGCTAGCAATATATTAAGAAGATGTTTTTTATCATAAGTTTTTACGACTTCTATGACGACGAATCTTTGCAAATATCACGTCGTCTCGGATGGTAGTTTTGGCGGGAAAATGTGCATTCGTAACAATAGTCTATAAAGCCTGGTTTCTATCATTTCGTATGGCTGTTAACGTGTCATAACAGTGTCACAAATCTCGCAGAAATAAACTGTGACAACTCTGACTAGGCTTACACTCGAAAACTAGGCTTAGCTAAGCACGTCCGCGTCGTAAGTTCGCGTTGTAGATCTTAAGCTCGCTAATATCACGAACACGCGCACGTCAATTTTGACGCAAGATAAAATTATTATAACTGTAAATTTTTTTGTAACTGTAATACGTCTTTGATAATGGCTGCCGTGTAGGTATCCGAAACGTCAGAAATAATTTTAAAAAATTTAATCTGGATGATCGTACAATAAACTAAATTATAATAATTATGTTATTAATTTTGAGATAGAGAAGGGCTGTTTTATAGATACAAAAAATCCACATCCACAAACTGCCTTGTATAGGGATGTTCTGAATACAGGTATTTGACAAAATATGAACATCAAATATGAAGTGACATTTTGCCCGATACTTCCTGGATATTATTTTTATTTTTACCAATATATCAAAAGATAAGCAGATACTAAAACAATGGATTATAATAATGAAGTATTGTTGAAGTTCCAACATTAGTACATGTTATACGGATATTATCCAGAATCCAGTTACCATTTTTACTGGTATCTGGTAGAGTACTATTTAGCACACCGGTATCTGGAAAAAGGGGGGATTTATAGGGGGGGGGGGGTGGTGCACACCCCTGTTGGCCTTGGTCAACAGGGGTGCAAAAAAATCAAATTCAGAAATATGGCACAATTTCCAAGGTTTTTCCTTTTTTTGAAATCAAACTGAAAGCTTGTAATTCAATATGGATTGCAGGATATGACATTTCTAGGGTTTTAATTTTCAAAATTTTCCGGGGGACATACTCCTGGACACCCTAGGGAGCTTGCGCCTTCGGCGCTCAAGTCGATCGTTAGGAAGCCAATTCATTTGAATAATCTCCCACCACCCCCTAAAGAATTATAAAGAAACACTCGGCTGCTCACCCAGCACCCCCGTAGAAAAACCTTGCTGGATCCACCCTTGTCTGGAAAATCGGTATCCAGCACATCCTTACACTATATATATTATTAAGTGACAAATTATTTAAGACAGAAAAACAATATTTTAAGGTAATTCAAATTGTAAACCTTCAAGTTGTATTGTCTATTTTTATTAATGAACTCATGACAACAATATACAGGAGATTGTGCTTTGTATACCAGTTAAATAATTCTGAACGTTTTTATTCTTAACTTTATATCTGCTTGTTTTATGTCAATATATTTTGACATATGCCTGTTATGATATTAGATAATAAAGTTTTTAATACGAAAAGTTATAGTTGACAGTTGTGTTGGGGAAACCCGAATGCATTCCATTCACCAAAATGAAAACTAACTACAAATTGACCTTTATTAGAATGGTAAATCAGTGCAAATCCTTTGTTTCAGAGACCAACAGTTTTGTCAAGTGATCCATGCGATTTCCCCTCAATCTCCGTTCCACGTAACCTGATACCTCTGTCATACTCAGGGCACTGAGGAATTCTTTAACTGCCAAAATGGACTGAAAAGATACAACTGTCATTTTCTTACTTTCAACGACATAGCAATTCGGATCGCAGAATAATGGCTTTCGGCAACTTTTGATTGCTCGAACTAAACACCTAAACATTTCCTCTCGTATATCACGCCTTATTTGTGAAAAGATTTATGTTTCGTCTTCCAGCCAAACGCCGGTGGATGGCTTTTAGCCATAAATACAACTCTCCTCTAAAAACCTTCCCAGCATTTATGTTCAATGAAAACAGCATGCGAGGGATGCTAGGCTCGCTTATTTCAGGTAGTGTTAGGACGTTACTGCTTTCGTCGTCGTTTTCGCTCCTTATCTGCTCTCGATTTGTGTCAGCATTGCCTTCTAAAACTTTGTTCAATTCTTCTTCCACGCTTAACTTCGCCGCCATTTTGAAATTGTTTCTATGGTCACCAGGTGTCGCACAGCCCAGGGATAAAAGGGAACATAATTGGGGGAAATACTGCTGCTCGCAAGCACTGACAATTTGGCGATTTTCTCGCCACTTGTGCCCGGCGTGCGTTCGAATTTTTAGCAATGGAATTTTTTAATCAGCATTTAAATGATTCAGTACGTATATATGATAGGCTATACGCTGTCGTTCACAGAAAACTTTTGGAAATATTGTAAAAAAGCGCCTACGTTTTGGAGTTTCTGTTAGGCAGAATTAAATTACATTCACTTGCTGACATTTTCGTACTTTAAATAGTGCTGACTTGTTGTTTTGATAATGAAAATAATCCTCGTTTTAATTTTAAACCTAAGAGGTTCACATGTAGAAATGGCCGATTTGCATGCGACGACTATTCTATATATGGATTTAAGAAATATTATGTAATTTAGGGGCGGATCATTTGATGGGGTGGATTTTCATTGAGCCCAATAATTTTTTAAACCTCCTAATGCTGCTCGATATTTTTCTGTCATTCAAGGCTCTTGAACGATTGTTTTATTTCGTAGGCACATATAGGTAGTAGGTATTGAGTATAGGCTATGGATCGTGATTTAAGAGATTTTTTTATAAAGTTTGGATGTGCAAACGTTCACAATCGTATATATTTACAATTTTATATATTTGTCATTTCTTTAACTGTATTGAGTTATTGATATTTTTCTGACCTATTTATGTAAATATAATATATTATATTATTATTTATTTAAAAAATTCCTGGTTTCTGTGAAATTGTGAAATTGTCATATCAACTCAATGGCTAACCAAATATGGATTTTTCACATTCATATTAGCAAAATGACGTCAAAGAGTCAATATGAAAAAAATTTCGACGCGTTTGCACCATATTACTTTGACGACGAGAATCATATTGACTCGCTGACGTCATTGATATGACGACGACAACGGCTGCTGAATTGTTTTTTCTTGATACAAATAAAATACAAATGGCTTCCGTTTGTTTTGATTTTTTTAAATAAATAACACAAAAATTATTGAATTCGGTTTTCGCACAATATGAAGAATTATCAAGCCCTCAGTTTGATAATTAACAGTTATTCTACAAACTCGAGTCGAATATGAGCTGATAGCCGGCGCCGAATCGGCTATCGCTCATATTCGACGAGAGTGAGTGAAATAACTGTTTTATTATATACACAAGGTCTGAATTCACAGACTTTCCTTTTCTGTTATTTTCAATATTTTTCTATTTTGTTTATGTTTTTATCTTCGCTCTTTCGGCCGATTATTTTTTCAAAAATATATATTTTTAACCATTTTAAATTTTAAAAATTCATTTGCTAACCTGCAAACAATTTGTGGGAGTTTTTTCATTGTGTTTTTAATTTTGAAAACGCTATAAGAGGCGAACAACTTGCCGTTTTCTCGTTTGCAAACGTCGGAAATTCAGTTTGAGCCGCCATTTTGTTTTTCTCTACTAGCAGGATATGAGCCAATATCCTGCTAGTAGAGAACCAATCAGATTGCAGAATACCTCATATCCAGACCTTGTGTATATAATAATTCTTCATATCGTGCTCAACCTCATTCAATAATTATTAAATATCTACTATGTAAATGTCACACAGTAATCAATGTAACAAGCTGTTTGAAAAATGTATATATGTGTGCAGCGTAAATATTGGGTATTATATCATATGTATTTGAAGGCTTAGGGAAGGTTATAATTTCGTTCTACATTTATATACAGTGAAATAGTAATATGTAAGCACTCGCATGAATGGACCTTGGCTATGTGTTAGCCTTTTAGTAAGTAAAACGGAGATTAATTTCATTATAAAAAAACAAGTCAGCACAATTTAAAGTAT